ATAGAGGGGGGGGGGGCGTTTGAAATGAGACATGCTGTATATTATTCCATTTACAGATTCTCCCTGAAGAGCTGATTTCAATGACCCATAACACTTGGGGTCTAGCAGTGACAGTTACAGAGATATAGGGTGTGAAAAATCGATATTTTTCAACTTTTAGGTGTTTTTACTTGGTCAAAACGGTTTCCATCTCCCTATCTCAACTTTTTATTTACTATCAATTGATATTTATTTGAAAAATAGGTTCAGGGTGGATCAGTATTGAGATTTTCAACCACCCTGTATCTATTTCAATTAAATATCAATTGATAGTACATGAAAAGTTGAGATAGGGACATAAAAACCGTTTTGACTAATTATGAATAGTTTCGAATAATTATGAATAGTTTCGACAGAAGAAATTCTTGAAGTTGAAAAATCTCGATTTTTCATACCATATATCTTTGCTATCATTCCCGCTAGATCTCAAGTGTAATAGATCGATGAAATCAGCTCTTTAGGAAGAATCAGAAAATGGAATAATATAGCTCTGCTATGAATTTTTCATGCGCAGATATTGAATCCTGCCTCTTGTTAGGTTTTCTGTACTTGTATGTAACCCCCCCAACTAGCATTTTCAGTCACAGGCACCATGGTTCAAGAAACTATTACCTATATTTAGTGATAATAACGTATTTATCACTTATTTCAGAACTTCATAGTATAAATGTCAGTGATAGTTATTTAGTGAGTGAAAATTACGTAGTTTTTACACTAGATAATAACTTCAAAGTGAGAAATTCTCATGGCTTATTACGAAGTAACTATTTCGAAACTGTCACTCCTCAAAACTACTCTTAAGGTTTCGGAACTTTGGATATATTATTACGGTAACGCTTACCACCCCAAGAAGGCTTCACAGTTGCAATTACTCTATGGTCACCAATTAGGTTTCTACGACGTTGTCGTTACTTGATCGATCACCTAATAATTTAGTCAATTCTTGGTGATATTTCAAGTAACATATTGGTAATTCCTACTCAAACAATTCCTTCATAGTTGAAACAACTTTTCGGTAATTATATTCAGTTGAAGTTACCAATACATAGGTTATCATAACTGACGAGTTCCAAAAGTAACTTTCTGATTCATTTTCGATTGGAAGCCATATTGATTGATGTGATAACCATTTGAACAGGAAATAATTTTGGTTTTTCTTGTTGATAAACATCATTTTATGAAGAATAATAGCATTCGTTCGATCACAAATTGCATAATAATGGAAATTAACATGATTTACGATGATTTTTGAAAAATAGCCGAATGAAATAAAACCATATTTTTGGTGAAATGAGCCGTATTTTGTGGGCGCATCTTGAATTTCGAGGCAAAATCATCACATTTATCGAAAAACTGAATGTTGTTCGAATTTTTCAAGTTCGAGTATCAATTATTTCGCGTGTTTGTCCTTGTATTATTTATTGAATGGTTAGGCATATTGGACTTGTTCATTTTTCGTGAATGTGAACTTCATGGATGAAATGAAGAATAATAAAGAGAGAAAATAATATTTTTATGAAGTGGAGAAGAAATAGAAAGACAGGTAGGAAAATTTACTACATCTTTACGTAATTTCTACGTCGACGGGTCGTAAGCATTACGTAATTGTGTGAGTTCCCGCTACGTCGGCAAACCGTAATAATTACTCGTGATTTGTTCCCCATTTTGGTCGTAAATACGTAGTAACGACGTAATTATAACGTAACCGCAACTAGTAAATATTACTTAATAGTCGACCCAATAGTCGTAATTACGTAATCGCGACTATAAATGCTAGTTGGGGCCTCAATAAAAGCATTTATTATTATTATTATTATTATTATTATTATTATTATATAGGGTGTCCCATTCAAAAATTCAAAGATGTTGCTACTTTTCAATATAAACGGCAACGTCGCAGTGTTAAGAACATTTTAGGTCGATGGAACACAACTAATTATCCAAGAAACCACATTTTCAGTATAATCCTACGTTGCTTTCTCCAGAAACGTCTAATGTGCCATCCACCGTGAATCAGCCTGTATACCTTCATGTCTATAAGAACAATCCCCAACCAAAACAAATTTTCAAATATATTCGTATGTATTTGAATCTTTGCAACCATCTGATCCAGCTTCAAAACCTACCACACATCAAAAAACAACAAATAGGTATCTCATCATATCTTACATGATCTCCCGAGAAGAACAGTTTAATCATCAATTAGTGAATAAATTGAAGTTACCTGATATATTTATAATCCGTACCATATCCGTGCAATCTCCAACTAGTCTCCCCAAATAATGGCATTGTTAGTTTTGTAATACCTGTTTGACGTATATAATATGGAATAATTTTCTCTGAGGCTTCTCAGGACTCTTTAATCAATATTGCATGTAGAACAATTATATAATATCATTAATCAATTCCTAATGTAAATCCAACAATGAACTGATTCTCCCTTCTGAATGACATTCTGTCACCGTTCCACAACGCGAACATCGAAAGATGGAAATGGATATCTCGTTGCGATCACTGTTTTGCGGAACGACATTCTATAAACAGTACTGGAAAAATCCTATGTTTTATCTTCTATCGGGTAATAGAAGTATTTGCGTAAAAACTTCACAAACGATAAGATTTCCACAAAATTCTCAATCGCACGACAATGAATGTTCATTTCACCTGATGAAGCTACTGTGTTAGCGAAACATGTCGTGTGATTGAGAATTTTGTGGAAATCTTATCGTTTGTGAAGTTTTTACATTTGCCATGGAATTCCATCAACTAACGGCCGAGTCAATTCAAAAAAGAAGTACTTGCGTTACGTTACGTTTTTAAACGTATAAATCAGAGGTACCAGACGACGGCAACAGCGTACTGAAATTTGTGACCATGTGATGTCAACAGTGAAGCTACAAAAGCTCACTGACTTAGGCACCTGCGCGTATTATGAATCCTTTGTTCATATAATCAGTTTCAAATAGGTTTGGTGGCACAGTGGTTGGTGTAAATATAAATAAATCACCAGGACTCGACGGGATAGACGTCGTTCTCCTGGACAACCTGTCTCGCAAGGCAAGGGTCCAACTGCACTAGAATATAAATGCAATAATAAAGTACTAACACTATCTAAGACTGGGCTTGTTGTACCTAGAGTGACTTTATAAATAGACTTAAATAGAGTGACGACAATAAACATCCAAATGGCTGCCATTTTCGGAATCTCAAGTCACTGAATAGCTGAAAATCTGAAGGGTTTCTCCCATGCATAAATGAATTTGCGCCTTCGAAGTGCTTACCTGATGTTAGGTTTAGATATTTCATATTTTTATTTCGTCTTCTGAATAATATGAGACATACGAGTCCCAAAAGACAAATTCTAATTGTTATTAGTTACGTTTTATTTGATCCATTCTGGTAGCGGTGGTGGGAACAGAATGACGTTTACAAATAAAACGAGAAACTTCATAACCCTGCTTGAGAGAATTTACATAAGAGGTTATATTTGTATATGGAAGATCCAAATAATTTAAAAAGCATAATACTAAAGTTAAGAATCTGGAAAATGAATCAACTAATATTTGGAGCAGTGATTGTGGTGGTTGAAGAACCTTCTCTGAGATCGACAGAGTTTATTTCATCTGGGAATGAACATATGAAATCTGTCTTACTTGAAAGAATCATGAATTAGTGAAACTCACGCTGAAAATGTCTTCTAAATGTCTTTTACTTTCGAAAAGGTTCGTTTTTCGTCAATCTAATTTGATTTTTTGACACCTGTCAACAGTCATTCCACATCATTCCTTGTAGTGAGACGGAATGGAAAGTAGTAACCGGAATCGGAAAAGTTGCAAATAAAACGACACATCAAACTAATTCCGGTGGCGGAATCGGATAAATAAAACGCAACTAATATTCAAGGTACTGACGTATAGAGTTTCATGTCTGATGGTAGCATGTTTTTTGTCCAAAGAGCAAAAAACAAAGACAAAGCATTGACAAAGTAGAATAGAATGCGTAGAATTGAATGGAGAAAACAAGACAGGTGGATGCACCTCCATATTAAAGTTCTGATCAATCAAAAAGTGTACAACTATTGTCGTCACTTTATTTATAAAGTCATTCTAGTTTTACCTATACCGAAACAAGGTAAAAACCTTCAACTACCAGGTAGCTACCGCCCTCAGTATGATGGCTAAAGTAGTGGATAAAGTCCTCCTCAGATCGATTGAGGTCCATGTCGAGGAATTGGAACTAATCCAAGCTGAACAATTCGAGTTTCACAAGGGACATAGCACCACCATATCTATGTTCAGTATTATCATCAGCAATACTCTCTCATGGGAAAATCATGTCCGTCATATCGCAGTTTTACAAAAACTTGGATTCATATTGTCCTTTGCGAAAATCTACTTTGCACCTCAACAGCTTCTCATGATATACAAAGCACAGATACGGACAGTTTAAGCATACTGTTCTCATTTATGGGCTTCAGCAACCAAACATACGCTGGTGCTCTTAGATTTCATCCAGAGAAGAGCCTTTCGCCTTTTCTCTTTGACCCCATCAGAACACCGTAGAAAAGTCGGCGACCTTGCATCACTAGCAATACCTGTACATCCCTTCTGTCACACAACACTATACCAAAACTCGTTCTTCTATAGAACGTCGAAGCTTTGAAATTCTTGGAAAATGAAAGTATTCCCAAGAACTTATAACCTCCAAAAGTTGAAACATTTTTTTTGGCAAATTTTCGTTTTCTCATTATGAAACATTCCTAGGATTCGGAACGACTGCGCACTAGATCTGCGCAGTTCAAGAACGATTCTTGAACATTTCTGAAATCGGAACCCAAATGAACCTTCTGTCATTTGTTATCAGATGACAGTCGAAATTTGCAACCGGTTCTTACAGATTACCCTTAGATGTTTGGCCACATAGTTGAATTTCACACTGTATTTTTCGTTATCCTGTTGCAGGACCCCAAAGCCTCGGTTCGGCTGCAAGCAGTGATGGCTTTACTTCGGTTACAAGTGCCTACAAACCCAGACTGCCCCGTAATTTCTGCATTCCTTTCCATGATAACGGATAGTAATGCTGCGGTAAGTTTTGCAGTTTTGTTTGTCGTGTGCTTCCATTCGGTTGGGAATAGGCAATTTCACTATGATTGAAAATAGCCCTTTTTATATGGCGAACGTATAGTAGTATATCAAATAGCACTTCCTCTCATCTATTGATTCCTTTACAACCGTTTAATTAATACTTCAAAAGTGCTACAAATCGAGAGAGTTCCAAACGACCATTTTTCGCGGTGTGACGTCACTTGTATTTTCTTGAGGCTCCCGCTGATTAGAGTAGAGTCACTGGTATTAGTTTGATAAGAGTTCGGACACAGCTGAACTTTTGTCCTTTTCTATTTTCTATAATACAATGGTATAAGTGAATAAAAGAATAAGACATATATTCTGCTCTTTGTCTTTTCAATTTCCCTAGTAGCACCTGATTGTCAGATACGATTTCTGTTAAATCAATCATAGCCGTAGATGGACAATGGGTATAGGGTACAAACACCCACTTCAATTTATAGTGATACACTTAATTCTAGCAGAACAACTGTTATATAAATGAAAAGAATGCATGTAACATTTTAATATTAGAAAATATACATATATGGATAAACTTATAGCTATAATTCCTTATTGTATGTGAAACTGTACTCCAGTGATGAGTATAAAACATGAAGTTATTTATATTAAATTAAAGGTAGATATTCTCAATATACAGGAAGTAACATAGGTACTTTCAAGTGAAGTATTCCTGAGACAATTATAAGAAATAAAGTCTATATAAGCTTTTGTGTCCGGAAATGCTTCATTTCGGAGATACAGAGTGCTGAAATACAGAGAACAAATCATTTTTCGATAAACATTTGATAGGAAAAAAGTAGTTTATTTTGACGAGACCTACCAAATACTTGGTTTTGCAAAGTTCTCAGCAACTCCACTTAGCGCCCTAGGAGCTAGGTAACATGAATCGATATAGAAAATATTTCCTAAACACTAACCTCCAGCGTAATTAATGCCCTTGTAATAATTCCCTTGATACATAAATAACTATTCACTTTCCACTGTTGAATTTTAAATTTGGTCGGCACCAAAAACGCCATTCAATAATATATCACTTTGTAGTTTACTCGCTTTTATTAGTTTCGTTTTCAAATTCTCAATTTCATTATGTAATTTTGCGATCATTTCCTCTTTTCCATGATCATTTTGTTTTGTATTTTGTGTGATGATAATAATGGAATTTTGTTCTCGAAATCGCCTGCTTTGTAAATTGATGGAACAGCAGATTCTCACAAACAGATTTTGAAATCTTCTGTTTGAAAATGGGCCTAAAATATAGATTCATTCTAATCAGATGATGTTATAAGAAGTGAATTTCAATGAGTACCTCACAAATTTCGCTCGTCTTCAAATTGATTTTGCACCCATCAGGCCATTTCATATCTTCCTTCCATAAGCGAATGGTTGATATTTGTTTCGGAAAATTGAATAAATGATATCCATTTTCTTCAGAATTGGCACAATTTATTACACAGCAAGTAATTTCCATAGCTGCTTCCATCTCGAATGTATAATTATGAAATTTTATTTCAATTCTGACGTTTATGAAATGTATTGTCAATTTCAAACAATTTTGAATGAAAAAGCGCGGGACGACTATGGTGCTCTTGTCACAATGCAAGATGTGAAACTTAATAAATCTAAACATTCAAAAACCCTAACCGTTGTCATTTCTGTGTCCGAACTCTTATCAAACTAATACCATCCAGTGACTCTACCGCTGACGACCCAAAGAGGATGCGTTGCACAAAACCACAGACACAGAACTCGAGCACAGAGTGGTTGGGTGACCTGTGACTTGAGAGAAAAATGGCTACAAACAAACTATAGAAGAAGAAAAAGATTAACCTCGAAATCTATTTCATAGTTCATTATTTCTTTTCATTTTCAGTGATCTATCAGTGTCATATTAGTGATATTCTTTCAATCTGAATTAACTGAAATATTTTACTTGAACTGAACTAAATCAGTCAATATGCGTTCTTTCAAATGACGTTCATTGTATGTCAACTGATTCAGTTCTGTTCGAGTGAAATGTACGTTCAGAACGAAAGAATATCACTATCAATGAGGGCTAAATATCTAGACTGTTCGACACTCTAGATATTTAGCCGCCATTGTCACTATTATAGTTTTTATTGAGTGACAAATGCAATGACAAATGGTGACAAGACCAAGTGTCTGACGCGGTGTGACGCACCTTGTATTCGTCCAATGAAATGCCATCAATATTTCGCGCGCATTCGAGCTATCGTTTGAATTTAGGTTCAATTTAGTAATTTCTTTCTGGGTCAACCGCAATCGTAAGAAAATTGAAAAAATGCTGAATTCACCCAGTATGTGTTCTAAATCGTGAAAAAAAAATTCAAAAAATCATGGTGAAATTCCCTATTAAGAACATTATTTTTATTAATTTGTAAAGTCGTGGAAATACACCAAGTCACAAAACAAAAGCCTATAGAATTTCTGGTTACCATTCGTATGTGTATTCTTAAGTATTCCAGATTTTGACAATCATGATGGTTATCATGGTAACGAATATGGCAGGTCATCGAAGTCCACGAGAACGGATATAGGAGTGTATGTGCGTACCATTACAAGTTCCCATGTTTTTTTTTTCTCAAAGATTCATAATATATATTTACCTAAAACAACGAAATAACTATAGTTCAACACTGAACAGTATTGTCGCGGAAAATCAGTTCGGGAAACCTGACGAGATATTTTCAATACCTACAAAATACGAAATTCGGATATGAGATCTCTTGCACCATGAACAAAGAATAACTCTTAATATTTCAATACCTACCTTCTCTCCCTTTCCACCCCAGTAATTGACGATGTTCTACATAAAATAGTGATTCTCTCTCGTTCGTCTTAAGCGATAATAAAAATTAAAAATATTAGCTGCAATCCAAAATATGACTTCAACCTTATCGGATTTTGGAATAAATGAACTATGAGATTTCTCAAGCTGTTCAACATAATCTGTTTTTCGCAAATACATTTACAACCGATTGATGCTTTGGCAAAAACAATATAAAAAAAAAATTATTAGTCTTCTCCCCTCATTTGTAAACAAATTATAGAGATATAAAAGTATCTGTGGATGACTGGGCGTGGAGATCCTTCTTTGCCCCGAAGTGTTTGAAAATTTATTTTCAGATCTGAAAGAATTTTTTCAGCTGATAGTCAGTGACACTTCGTGAAATAAGATGTTGAAAGGTATTCGAGGTACAAATTATAAAGAAAATATGTGAAGATTTATTACTCTCCATATCAACTGTAGAGGTTTCGGAAAACACTCTGTACTCATTATCAACATGAAATTCTTTTGAACAAATGTCTTGTCTTGCTTTCTGCAAGAAAGTGAGTGAGTAACTAGTATAACTCACATGAATTATATTTCGAATAATAATTCCTTGTCAACATCAACTTAATTTTATATGAATTATTCAAGAAGTTACATTTTTCAAAAACGAATATTTTCATTTGAACGCATTGACCCTTCCTCCGATGACGTATCGCTCTTATCTGAATTGAAAGTTATCACGACAGGTTCAATATTGGAAGCACCTATGTATTTCTCCATCACCCATGCCGAAAATATCACTTTTTCTGTATGTCGTACATGATTTCTCCAATGCTCCACACCCACAGCTTCTAACGCCTTTGACCAGACCATTTATTACATCTCCCGGGGATGATTTGGTTTTGATGATTTCGGCGTCATAAATCCTTTTAGCCTCTGTCCACATCATTTCTATGGCATTATATTGGCAATGGTGAGGTGGTTATCTCAAAATACCATGACCATGTTCTGATGCGTAAATATCTAGATGATATATTTTTTTTTGGAATGACGTACGCTTGCCTGCAATCGATGGTTCTTCTACAAGAAACTGCCTATTGTTGCTCCTCTTGAATTTGAATCCAATTTTGTGAATCCAGGTATTCACGCATCTCAGTGAACGAGTAAAATCAGGCCATTCTTCAGTGAAACGCTTATGGAGCGATTTTATTGTAACATGTACTCTAAGAGCCTGTAAAATTGTGGGATTTACCTTTTTTTATTTCTTCGGCCTTTTTCGAAACTGTTTCTGCATAAGCATGAGAGTTTGTTTGCGAATTCTTGATCCGATAAATACTCCTTTCTGAAATATTCAGAGCTTCCGCGGCAATGCAACATTCTTTCTTTGAATCGTTTCACCATTATGATATAAGGAATTCGAAATATTATTGATGTATAACGAGTACTCTAATTGTTTGACATTGAGTCACAGTGACAATTCAATGATCAAAATATATGAATCAAGTTCCGACATTCCCCTTTCTAGTGATTTTCTGTCTCATTCAGCTTGCGATGAATAAAAAGAAACAGATTTTGCCTTGGTGTATTTCTACGACTATACCATCTTTAACTATGTGTTTTCTCCTCTGCTAACTCTGGAACATACTATTAATCAATGCTCTTCAATCCTTACCAGGGTAGGTTCCTCATTTTATCAACTATACAGTACAGGGTGGGTGGAATTCAAGCCTCATCATTGGGATCTCGTGAATCGTAAGAGATACAGGGTCGGTTGAATTATGCATATCAAAATGTCATTTCGAAATTTGGATAATTTCGAGCACTTCCAAAGATTTTTGTAAAAATCCGAATATTTGCGATCTCATTTTTATTGTTTTACTAGCTGTCCGGCCCAGCTTCACACAGTTGGTGTACACCCATTGAAAAAAATACGACATTTGTTGCAGTCTACTACTATACAGGGTGTCCGGAAATTATGCGCAAACAATCAAGGGAGTGATTCTACATAATGAAATAAGAAATTTAATTCATATGAACCTAGGTCCGGAAATGCATAGTTTTTAACATACAGTGTGTTGAAACTTTAAAAAAAGATCGATTTTTTATGAATATCTCAAATGTCTTTCCACCGATTTTCTTGAAATATGGCAATAATATTTTTTGTCATAAAGGGCTGATATACCCATAATTCAATTGGAATCTTGGAATCCAGTGGTGTCCCGATGGGCAACCTACCGAATATTATTGTCAATAAAATGTGCGCCACTGATTTTTTTGAATTCTGTATCTTCATAACCTATTGACCAACTGAAATTACAACATTTTGGTCTCTTGAATTGTTTTGCTATTTTGCTGCTTTACGGTGGAAAAAAATGAATTCCAATTCATTGTATAAATTTGTGCAAAATATTGCTTCTAAAACAGGGGTAAAATTAAATGTGTGATCGATGTCCATAGACGTAGAATAAAAATGAAGAATAATCATCTTCAAATATTTAATAATACATGTTTGACACACTCTACACTCAGTATATTGAGAACTATGTATTCTCGGTCCGGGAAGGCGTATAGTTTTCGATAATACGAAGTGTGTCAAACATGTATTATAAAATATTTGAAGAAAATGAATCTCCATTCTCATTCTACGTCTGTGAACATGGATCACACATTTAATTTCACCCCTTTTTTTGAAGCAATTTTTTGCACAAATTTATACAATGAATTGGTATTTATTTTTTTCCACGGAAACGCGGCAAAATAGCAAAACAATTCAGGAGATTGAAATGTTGTATTTTTAGTTAATCATCAGGATATGAAGATGAAGAATTCAAAAAAATCAGTGGCACACATTTTATTGACAATAATATTTGGTAGGGTGCCCCAGGGACACCACTGGATTTCACAATTCCAACTTAAATTATGGTTAAATGACGAAGAATATCATTACCAAATTTCAAGGGAATCGGTGGAAGGATATTTGAGATATTCATAAAAAACCGATTTTTTTTTAAAAGTTGAACACACTGTATCTTGAGTACTATGCATTTCCGGACCCAAGTATATATGGAATGAATTTTATGTTTTCACATGCAGAATCACCCCCTTGATTTTTTGCGCATAATTTCTGGACACCCTGTATACTTACACCAATTTTCATTCTCTCAGTATCTTTTGTATTTTTTTGTTGTTTTACATATCAAAAATTTCAACCCAATCGGCCGAGCCGTTTAGTAGTTGACGTACCGACAGCAACGCCACCTACCGCGTTCAATTGTATTTTTAAATCAACCAGGATGCCATCCAGCCATAGGGATGCTTTTGGAGTGTCGTGAATGACTTTGTCTATACATATTTTCTCGATTTTAATGATTGTCAAACTAGTCAAACTTGAACATTGAATTTATTATTTTCTTAGATAAGGTATTACATTTTTGTAAAGCCAAAGAATTTTAGCATGTATCTGTATTTGTATTTTATATTTTGAATTGATGTACTTTATTGTGGTAATTTTATGAACTTTGCTCTTGTAGGTAACTGATCTCAAATTTCGTAAGATTATCAAAATTATTATTATTATTATTATTTATCGAAATACCCATATAAAGTCAACCCAATCGGTTCAGCCGTTTAGAAGTTATGCGAAAAAGATATGATCATAATTCTTACTACTCGTTTTTCCCGTAAGAATGAAACATTTTCCCGCGGTAAAAAGTAGCCTATATTCATCAGGGATAATGTCAGCTTCTAATGGTGAAATAATTTTTCAAATAGGTCCAGTAGTTTGGGAGCCTATTCGATACAAACAAACAAACAATCAAATCTTTGCTTATTCCAAATTTTTTGGGATTTTCTCTCCTCGTTTCTATAAAATAAAAATATGAATATTATTTCAGTATACGTGTAGCAAGGACAAATCAGATGATTTGCCCCAAAATGTCACTGCGTTTAAAGAATTTTCCTATCAGATAGTCTAAAAGAAAAATTCACCAGCTTGTCAGTGACAATTTGTATTGAAAAAAATTTGGAGATATAAAATAAAGGTATATGGAAAAAATATCAAATTTTCACTTATCTTCGGACGTTTCGGGACCGATTCTGCTCCCGTTTTCAACATAAGAAAAGATTATTTTTCAAGTTTTCATTGACAATTGGTGACGTTGGCAATCAAATGAGTTACAGGATGTTTTCATTAATTAATCTTGAATTTACCATTTTCATGTTCAGATTTTAGTAGTGAATACCATGTTCTGTCTATATCAACTGAACAAGAAGCAATGCTATTGTCACCGTTCAGAAGAATGCAAGCAGATTCCTTGATTTTTCTCTTCTGGTTGTTATCTTCTTTTCCAATGATTTTAATATTATTCCACTCTGCCATATGTTGTCCGTCTCCAGTAAGGATATGTTCAGCTAATTTCGATTTATCGATGTGTCTTTTCTTTATATTGTACTTATGTTCCTTCGTCCTTACTGAAAGAGGTCTCTTGGTTTCACCTGTATAAAACTTTCCACAAACACAAGGTATACTGTAAATGAAATTTTTTAACGATTGTTCTTCATTTTTCGGCTTTGTTTGAGTTAGAATTGATCTCATTGTATTTTCAGTTTTGAACACAGTTTTCACTTGAAATTTATCACCAACACGTTTTATTTTTTCAGATATGCCGGGAATGTATGGTATTATATTTGTCGTTATTGATGGTTGATGTTGTTGTGGTTGACCCTGTCTGTTTTCAATTTGATGAATCGTCCTATCGACAAAATTCTTTAAACGCAGTGACATTTTGGGGCAAATCATCTGATTTTTCCTTACTACACGTATATTGAAATAATATTCATATTTTTATTTTATAGAAACGAGGATAGAAAATCCCAAAAAATTTGGAATAATGAATGTACCACCTCCTCGATTAACCTACAGACAGTATTTAACAAATCTTTCCTCTTTATAATATTAGTATAGAAGACTATTTGAATAGATGAAACAGTAGTAGATTGTTTTATTAGAATCAAAAGGGTCACTTTGTTTGACAAGCGAATTTTGCATTAGCAAAGCCAAGCGAAAGCAAAATTTGCGAGTCAAACAAAGTCACATTTGATCGGAATGAAACCTGCAATTTTTTTCTGCAACCGAAAGAATTGACTCAAATAAATATGTGAAGTAAGCGCAAATGTGACTTACTTGACAGATTATTATAATACCTTCATTATAATAATATAGGTAAGTAGATAGAAGCAAGACCTCAGACGATGACTTTACTTTGTTACAATTTGTGTTGACATACATCATCAGATAGATACTACAGGCATGAATTCAGGACTATACTCGAAACGTGGATGTCATGCCATATGAATGCAATGCAACAATTGATCCGTGTGGAGAAAATATAGGAAAAATAAGTGGAAAATGTTAGGTTAGTGAGCATATCAACAATAATAATAGCGATTATTATATTTATTTCTCTCCATATTCCACTGTGTTTTGCTCGGTAATCAAATGAAGTTAAACAATATCTTTTTGTGAGACAAAAAAGTATTGCTGGCCGTGATTATTCAAAAACAAGTTATCCAATCAATCACATCCCGAGAATGAATGAAATACAGATCAAGCAAGTATGTGAATCTTGAAGGCTTTCCTGATCAAAACAAAAATACTCAACTAGTACATCCTTTTTAGTTTAACTTCAGCTCCTAGGAACTGAAAGTGTTGCCTAGCAACATACCTATGTTAATTTTTGAATTCAAATGGACGACTTTTGTGTCGGTTGCAGAGAAAACAAATCACACATTCTCATTGCTACTTTTTCTGTTCTACAAGATGGTGTTATCAGACTTTCAAACCGACGTTTCGTCTTCGAGCTGCCATAATCAACTTCATTTATTTAAATAAAAATAAATAATAAATAAATAAAAATGGCATTTACCGTATGATTTATTCAAAAAATTAAACACGTTCAGAAGAATGCAAGCAGATTCCTTGATTTTTCTCTTCAGTCGTTTGAGTCCTGTCCTGTCCGGCCTGTCAATTTTAGGAACTGTCAGCTGACATTTTGGAATTTTGTTGCAATCAGAATTATTCAACGAATTTCTGTTTGCATCAGAATTCTTCATCAAGAATGTATGCGAAATGTAGACGAAAGTGAAATCGATGAGAATGTTTTAGGTAATTGCATATTTCCAAGAACTGAAGATCTCTTTATGGGCAATCCATTATTTAGTATGCTAATGACAATAAACGTAAAACACAATATGTATAATAAAATCGCAAATATTCGGTTTTTCCAAAAATATTTGGAAGCATTCGGAATTTTTCAAACTTCAAAACGGCATTTTGTTAGCCATAAAATTGCGCAACTTTGCCAAAATTCAACTGACCCTGTATCTCTTACGGTTTACGAGATCCCCATGATGTGGCTCGAATTCCAGACATCCTGTACATGCTCCTTATACCGAGTATCAACGAATCTAATAACTTCTAGAATACTCTTTGTATGAAAATGAAATTCAATCTGGATATATGGTATGTGAAGAGAAAAGTTTTTTTGAAAACTTTCTGATTTGCGTAAATCACAATAACCTGAATATCAAATAAATAAATAAATAAATATTTTTATTTTCCTTTCTAAAAAAGTATAGGAATTGTCAGGTTATTACAAAAAATCAACCTGTATTCCTTAGAAATAGACAGTTTGGCTAGAAATGAATTCATTCAATACTTCATGAAAGCCTTGTATACTATTATTTCAGGTGAGAGCTGAAATTGTGAAAACCATCGCACCCTACATCGGTACCATACCGCAAATCGTGAAACGACTTCGAGACGTCGATCCTACAGTACGCATCATCGCTTTCAGAAGGTAACTGAATAATATCGCCCTGTATATAACTTTTTAAAATTTTTGTCCGATTCTGATGGAACATACATCGCTTTCAGAAGGTAACCAAATGATATCGCCCTGTATATAACCTTTTAAAATTTTTTCCGATTCTGATGGAACATACACCAAATCATAGAATTTTGTTTCGGAATGATAGCCTGAATTTTAGTTTAGTAGTTTAGCAAACTGAAATATGATCATTACGATGGATTCCTCTTTCAACCAGCTTTCCAATGAGGGGTCGCAAGCCATAGGGTTGTATTTGAAAAAACACGTTGGGGTAGATTCCTACTACCCCTGAAGGGTATCTAAAGTAAATACAATCAAATATCTTGGTATATAGATTGATCAAAACTTGAAGTGGAATTATCATGTCTCAGAACTAACAAAGAAACTTAGAAGTACCCTTCCAAAATTCAGACTTTTGCGAAATATTGTCGGTAGACGTTTAATGATCATGTTTTATCACACTCTCTTTCAATATATTATATTATCGTATGGAATAATTGGATGGGGTGGTATGTATGAAACTCATCTAAAACCTTCATATTCAAAAATATGTTTTGAAAATAATATTCCGTAAATCATTTGATTATCCATCAGCATTATTATTTTTAGAAAATATTACATTGAATGTTAGGCAATTATTCTATAAGGCGTCAATAATCTTTATTGAGAAGAATCCGGCTATAAGAAATAAAATCAATCATAGTTATGATACAAGAAACAAAACCAACAATGTATGACTTGAAAGACATTAGCTTTATTTTTATTGAATCTAAAATTTATAATAAAATGCCATCATAATTAAAACTTCTGAATATCGTAACTTTCAAAAAAAAAAAAAAGTTAAAAGTTAGCTTATAGAAAATGCGAAAAAAATCGATGATCTCTTTTAATTAACCCTATTTTTCTTTATTCTCATTATTGTATGAATTGATTATCTGTTTTCAGTTTGAGAATTTATATTATGAAAAAACAATTTTATACGTGGAATAATTCATCTCTTTCACACACAAGTCACTAACTATGTGAAGGAGATACAATATGAAATATATATTGTACAGGGTGATTCACCATAAATGTCCCCCCCCTCTAGCTCAGTTATTTTTGAACCGATTTTAAAATTTGAATTATCATCTTGAATGATTTTCGATGTTTTTTTCCGCTAGATCAGAAAATACAGGGTGCTCGGAACAAACGATCTACAGGGTACTATTTGATTTTTTTAAATGAAACACCCTATTTTTCATTGTATTTTTAGATTCTCCCTGAAGAGCTGATTTGATCAATGTATCCTAGCGGGACTGATTACAGAGATATAGGGTGTTCAAAATCGAGATTTTTAACTTTAGGATTTTTTTTGTGACGAAACTATTCATTATCGGTCACGCGGTTTTCATGTCCGTATCTTAACTTTTGATTTACTATCTACTGACATTTAATAACTGGAACAGATACAGGGTGACCAGAATTCTGAATCTTGAACAACCCTGTAAATGTTCCAATTAAATGTCACAAGATAGTAAATCAAAAGTTGAGATGGGAACATAGAAGCCGTTTTGACCAATAATGAATAGTTTCGGCACAAAAAAATCCTAAAGTTGGAAAATCTTGATTTTAAACACCCTATATCTCTGTAATCATTCCCGCTAAACAACCCCAAGTGTGATACATTGATGAAATCAGCTCTTCAGGAAGAATCTAAAAATACAATAAAATACGGGGTGTTCCATTTAAAAAAATCAATTAGTACTCTGTAGATCGTTTGTTCCGAGCACCCTGTATTTTCTGATGCAACCGAAAAAAAAATTCTGAAAAATCATTTTAGATTATCTTTCAAATTTTTAAAATCGTTCAAAAATAAGTGAGCTAGAGGGGGGGACATTTATGGTGAATCACCCTGTACATGTAATTGATATTTGATGACAAAATGTTGATTTTACTCGAGTCAATAAATGAATAAATGAATATTGCTCGACAAAGGTAGTTTAATACATATAAACGTGCCTCGCGAATTTTCAGAAAAATCATTCACTCCCCTAGTAGCGAATTTATTCCAGTTAAAGTCTCCACCCTGTATATGATAGGCAAAAATAGTATATTGTTTAACGAGCACCGAATGATAGTGATTTCCTACGAGAATGAAATTTGCAGCATGAGCCTACGTATGAAAATATACAAGGTCTCCTACTACAGTTTGACATCCCATTTGCAGTGCCGTTTGGTTCATTTCAATATCATTAGCGGTATAGGTCCAATCCAGCTTTCCAATTTCAATGACTCACCCTGTATTTATTTGTAGTTGTATCTGATTGTTATTGCTTGTCAGTGTCCGTACTCAAAATATAGGCTCAAAACAAAAGTGCAAGTACATTAAGGAATTCTGCAGTACCTGTACCAACAACATTTTGCAAAATAATTAACAAACCTCTATTTTTAAATCATGATTTCTTCAAATCCCACGTGTTAAGTAGAAAAATACGGAAATATCTGCCTATACAATGTAATATCTATTTGGTCCCTTGTTCTAAATTCCACAATATCATAGTAGAAGAAACACTTACCAGCTTGTGAAAGAATAGATTTCGATGGAATAGTCCAACACTTTACAATGTCGTATTTCTCTGCAAAATACCTAAACAATACCTACACCACACGCACAAATGCACCACTATTATCACTAATGTGAAAAAAGTACTGTATATTTTCATTTTTTCAACCACTTGAATCGACCGCACTCGATGAAATGTAATTTAAGACTGATGTCTGGCTTTTGATTCATCACCTTGATGACTAACTATCTGTTACGTAGCCTTATCAACCGATTAAAACCCGAACAAATAATTTATCTATGACTAATAATATTCCAAGTATATAGGGAGAAAGTAGAAAGGAATTCAATATGTATAGTAGAATAAAATACAGGGTCCTTCACGTGTACTTTCGTTCCATATACAGTATGTCCACATTGAGAACTTACCACCCCTGTAAAAACTTTTAGTTTATTTTAGTTTTAATCTTCTCGTGAATATGCTAACATAGTAAGCGAAACACGTGGCGTAAAAAATCGGTTTTGTTAGTGGTAAAACAGTGTGTAGTGTATTATCATGCCAAAGGTTCCAGTCTCCCATCTAACTTGTTACCTACATAATATACTATTTCCGGTTAGTGCTGAGAAAATGAGGTAGAAATAAGTGACATTCATTCTCAAATTTATCAATCAATGAGTTTATGTAGGTTCTGATTATTAAGTTAGAATTGAAACATTCCATACTTTTTTAAAACACTCGTATATTCTCTTAAAAATAATATATTGACGTGAATCAAAAACTAATGTGTTGAGCAGAGAGAGATCACACTTCAATCCAAAGAATGATGATGCCATCTACTTAATTTCACCACTGGTCCTTAAGTAGTAAAATGGGGTGACATAATAACTTTGGTTTTTCTCCGTATAATGATCGAGTCATCAGATTTTCACAAAATCTAATATTCAGGCTAACATTCCGGAATATGAATCAACGATTTGATCAAAACTTCACAAAAATCGGACAAGGATCAAAGAAGGTAACAAAGTGAACAGTTTGAGCAATTTTTTGTTTTTTTTTGCCGGTGAGGGTATAAATGTGCCTGATTCAAAATCATGGCCATGTTAATGACTGACTCCCAGATTGGGTTTAATCCCAGCATTTATCGAAACCTAAAACAATACGACAGATAAAAATGATCTTAGTCATGTTGATTATCACTGAGATTAGGAATTGGAATTGGTGTAAATCTTGCTTTTATACGTGAAATTAAAGCGTTGCGAAGTATTTATTTTAAAATTAATTCATGTTTTTGCTAAAGTTTCGTGTTTGGTAATAATTGATCTTATTATTTGAAGAAATTCATTAAAACAGTATGGACAATTTGGAATGCTTTATTATGGTTGCTTGTTTGTCAACTTCAAAAATGTCATGTCACAGTTTACTAAAATCATACACAGGGTGACATTTTTGGTGATTATTACCCTCTGCCAAAAAATTACTGAATCCAAGCCTGGAAATAGAAGGATGTTGATTATTTTTGAGCAGAAAAATTGGGAATAATTTTATCCTTACTTTCATTCGTGAAATTCATGCATTGCGAAGTATTAATTTTCAAATTAATACATTTGTTGCCCAAGTTTCGCGTGTAGTATAAATTAATCATTTTTAAAGAAATTCAATGAAAGTGTGGGGAAAATTTGTAATACTTCATTCTGGTTGCCTGTTCATCAACTTTAAAAATTCCATAATACAGTTTAAAACCTTATACAGGGTGAAATTTTTGATATGAACCAAATTGGCAGAATTTCTCAAGACCGGTCCTGGATTTTTTCGATTCTGAATACGTCAGTTGATGGCTGAGTGACAGCATAATAATCCATGAAAAAATGAAAGGAATCGAAAGAACTGTTGGAAAGTTATGATTGAAAGAAGTTTTGGTCATATCCCATAAATCACCCTATAGATTATTTTAGAAGAGGCGGAGACTCTTTCTGATGGTCATTTGGTATTCCCCTCAGGTGCCTCTATTCGTAGTAGGGGCATGTACAGTTCCTCATGACTCACCCTGTATAGGGTCATACAAGCACTAAACAATAGTAGCAAACTCTTCAATGTTGAAAAGGAATATTCTCAGATAAATTATGAACATACAAAAATGGATATATATTTTTATATAAAGCAATACATTGAGAATTCGCATTCTCTATGTGATGAGAATATCAACTCTCTTTCAGTTTATTCAATAGAAAACAACTACTTTCCTGGGTATATGCCACGACGAACATTGAATTATATCTATTGAACACACACGATAAGAATAAAATATAAAATCTTCTGAAATTGAGAATTTGCATTCTCCTTCAGACAAAAATATGTATATGCACACATCATCCTGAATATTCAACAGAAAACAACTACTTTCTTATCGTGTGTGTTCAATAGATATAATGCAATGTTCGTCGTGGCATATAGCCAGGAAAGTAGTTGTTTTCTATTGAATAAACTAAAAAAGAGTTGATATTCTCATCACATAGAGAAAGAGAATTCTCAATGTATTGCTTAAAATAAATATATATCCATTTTTGTATGTTCATAATTTATCTGAGAATATTCCTTCCACTTTCATACCCAATCAGGGGGTTCAAACTTGAACGATGGAAACTTGTGATTTTCATAGACCTCTATTCGCAGATTCGTGATAGAGTCTCAATTCAGAATTTCTTTCCACGTCCTGTATGATGAATGTCAATTTATCATACACCAAAAAGCAAACTCTTCAATACCGATATTTTTTTTTCGAATTAAAGGTGTGCTGATCTCGGTCCGAAATACTTCAAAATCGTCGAACGCCAGCACATCCTGAAATGCGGCCTGTGCGAAAACCATCCCAAAGCGAAGAAAGTCTTTATGGAAAATCTGCTGGTTAAATGGTTGAATGCTTATGGCGAGAATTACGTGGAGTTTTTGAAGGCGCTGAAATTGGACGGCGACGAGAGCGACATAGCTAATACTCAGGAGATCAGCAAAAGGATTATGACCGTACTACTCGAGTGAGTCGTCTTTTTTTCTCTCGAATATGTTGTTATATGCGGAATCCTCTAGGGTTATTATACAGGGTGTCTCTAAAGGGTTTCACAATAACTTACCTTATATAGGGTGAGTCATGACTAACCAGTCATAGCCCAATGGCAGATAGAGGGAGTCAAGGTGAGTTGATATACAGGGTGTATCTAGATAACACCGAAAAAAATCAAGGGATGTTTCTTTGTGACATACTAGCAAATAAAGTTTATACAAACATGTGACCTAACTTTCTCCGTTTTTGAGATACAGGATGTTGAAATTGGAAGTATTAATTGTTTTTATTTATAACCCCCCCTGTATGAGCTCTCATGGTGCCAAAATTCAGTATGGATGGAGACTAAGGAAGCCCCAAAATTTTAAAATGATTCTAATTGGGGTTATTGAGTATTCTCAATGGAAGTCTTGAGAACACCAACATTGAAATTTAGAGTCAAATCGAATTTTTATTGTTTTTCTCAAGAACTAAGCTAGATACAAAAATCACACAGAGGATAAAAAAGTTGTTATTTCCATTGTTCAATCTGATCAAAATATGAAACTCGGAAAAACCAGTGGTGTACAATGACATTCACCATGGATATCGATAAATTTACCCACTGTGACGCCACTGGAAATATTATTTCGAATCTAATTGCACTAGATGAAGCGCCATATTACTATTAACAAAACCACAACGTTTCATTGAAATTGTTGAAGAGACAATTGAGAAATAAATAGAAAAAAGATTTTTCAAGGAAAGATTAATACCCTATATCTCGAAAACGAAGCAAGTTAGAACACATGTTTATTTGAACTTTATTTCCTAAAATATCACAAGGAATCATCACTTGAATTTTTTCGGTATTATTCAGATACACCCTGTATACAGAGAAGTGCACAAAAAACGCCCAGGACTGTAACTGTTGAATCATTCGAGATAAGGTTTTGAAAATTGGTGGACAACCAACTTTTGGTATTTACAAGTCTCGTCCAATGGACTCTTGTAAACCACTATTTGAAAAATGCAACATCTCACCATTGCCCTGTCTACATATTTCTCTCATCTATGATAATAAACACCGATATCCAAAAAACTCTGATATACATAATTTGTTAAGATGACTTTAACGTCAATTTCCATCAAGGGACCCTACTTTATACCACCCATAATCTTGCTTGAGTGTGAAACAGAATTCCCTAAAATATTTTGGTATCAAATGCTTCAATAAAATAACAACTTTTATAGGGACCAATAAAAGTATAACTGTAATGAGAAATGAACTAAACTACTTACCAGATGAAGTGGGACATTCAAAAAATTGACTAATTTTGATAAGCTATAACTCGAACATTTCTTGGCCGATCTTGGATTTCCAACCAAAGGTAGAATGCGTCATCCTTTGGCTATGCGTCATTGGCGTCGGGTTTTTATTTTTGCGATTCGTTCTCTCTGTACAGAGTGTGAATTAAGAGCCGGAAAAATTTCAAAATTTTGACCAATTATTTGGGAAATGTGAGGGACCCTAGAATTCTTTTTCAGATGTTGGGTGAATGGTTGGTCCGATACCTCGAGACATCTTTGGAATTTTTTTGATAAATTGCGTTGCTATGGAAATATCGCCATTTTATGAAATTCCATTTTTATTTCAAAATGTGGCCTCTTTTAGTGAAACAATAACAGCCAACATCTAAACTGCAATAAGTGATAATTCTACTAAAGATAATCAACACCAGTGGCGTGCAAAAAGGGGTTTATGATATTTTGAAACGAAAAATTCGTTTTTATTGAAGAAATTCAACAGTTTTATTGATTGTTACGGTTAGAAAGTTGCCATATATTCAATTAGCATGATGTATACAAATCCAGAGGCGTGCAAATAGTGATTCTGTAATGTGGACAAATTGAAATGCAATTCTCATTATCAATGTTTTTCACTTATTCATGGTGAGCATCGAAGTAATCCTTTGGCGTTTTAAAGAGGATCCATCATTCAAGGCAATTCAAAAAGTTTGATATGGAAATATTTTTAATAATTTTGTCAAGAGTTGTTCTTTGTTCGCCCAGTGAAAATTTTCTTGTATCATTATTCATGAATGAATATTCAGGAACGTAACTTCGGCTCCTGATGTTTCTCGAGCCGTGCAATTTGATAATTTTGTCTGAAAAAATTTGAAAAAATCTTCAATTTTTGCCCCCCAAAAAAATTCAAGTATTATTTCTTCAATAATTTTCTAGTCCTCTTTCTGATAAAGCATTTTTTTTTAAATTCAGCAGGCCCATACATGGCCAGGAATACGAGGCTCATCAAAAATACCCACGATCAAGGAATTTTTTACTTGGCGAACAGAGAACACTTAGCAAAATTATTAAAAACGGTTCCATATGATGAAAAATTTTTGAATGGATGCTCATCTTGAATGACTGAATAAGTAAAAAAAAATAACCCTGACCATTATGGGCCTACTGGTAGTGTCAGTGAGCAGTACTGGGTTCTTTCGTTAACTTCTATATTTTATCAATTGTGCATTGCTCGGCCTCATCGGGCAATATTAGTGAAGAGGTATCTGCAAGACCAAAATATAAATCGTATTGAATTGCCTCCCAGATCTCCAGACTTGAATCCCATTGAGCACATCTGGAGTTGGATGAAGTTGGAATTTTCCCGAAGGAAACGTCAGACAGAAACTCTTGACGATCTCAAAAGGACATCTCTGATGCAGTTCCTATAGAACTAATAAACGAATTAATTTCGAGCATGCCAAGTCGGTGCCAGGCAGTTATTCAGGCTAGAGTGGGGCCAACGCGTTACTAAAATGATATTCAGATTATTTTTTTATGAATAATCATTTATTTGTGGTTTTTTTTAGTTTCTTGAATAACGTTCTCTAACGTACGTGAGCATATGGTTTTTTTTGTACGCCGATGGATTCATTAGAAAAGAAATAATTACATGTATGCACCTTATTGTAAATACATGAAAATAAAATGAATTATGAAAGTGGAATTTTAATCTGTCTACATCACAGGATCATCTTTTGCACGCCTCTGAATTTGTCAACATCATGCTAATTAAATGTATGGCAATTTTTTAACTGTAACGATCAATAAAACTGTTGATTCTTCTAGATAAAAACTTTTTTTTTTGTTTCTAAATATCATATGCCCCTTTTTTTGGACGCCTCTGAATTCGACAACATATGCTAATTGAGGGTATGACACCTCTTTAACTGTAACGATCAATAAAACTGTTGAATTTCTTCAATAAAAACAAATTTTTCGTTTCTAAATATCATAAACCCCTTTTTGCGCGTCACTGGTGTTAATTATCTTTAGTAGAAATATCCTTCGTTGCAGTTCAGATGTTGGCTGTTATTGTTTCACTAAAAGAGGTCACATTCTGAAATAAAAATGGAATTTCATAAAATAGTGATTTTTCCATAGCAACGCAATTTATCAAAAAAATTTCAAAGACGTCTCGAGGTATGGGACCAACCATTCACCCAACATCTAAAAAATAATTCTAGGATCCCTCACATTTCCCAAATTATTGGTCAAAAATTTGAAATTTTTCCGGCTCTTAATTCACACTCTGTACAAAGAGAACGAATCGCAAAAATGAAAACCCGACGCCAATGACGCATAGCCCAAGGATGACGCTTTCTACCTTTGGTTGGAAATCCAAGATCAGCCAAGAAATGTTCGAGTTATAGCTTATCAAAATTAGTCAATTTTTTGGCTGTCCCACTTCATCTGGTAAGTAGTTTATATAGTTTCTTGTTGGATAACTGCTTCTACAGTATGGATGATGATGATGATTTCAGTACTCAGATAGTTTCCTTTATACATGTAGTCTTTTTTAAATTTGTTCAAGAAAAAACATTTGTGTTTTGGCTTTTTACTCCTTTGACTAGTCCTATAAGTTTTCTCATTTATTCAATTTCGTAATTGTGTATATGTGAAAATTTCAGTGATGAATAAACTATTTCTATTTATTTTTATGATTCATAATGCCCTCCATAACTCCCTAGGGCGTTAGGGATCTGTCAATGGCAACTGTTGCAAAGGTATTATAAAGCAGTAATGGACAAGTGAAAAATAAAATCATTTAGTTTCATTGAAAATTCAAATTTGATTGGTGATGCAGCTGCATGCTAGCGCACAAATTGATAATTGTCTAGGACATGTTGAAAACCCATAATAGTTATTTTCTCTGTGACGGGAAAAAAGTTTGGCATTTCATCTCTGTTGGCAGGTTGAAAAATGTCACTTTTCATGAATTACTTTTTTCCCGCCGGAAAGTGATTAGTTTTTTCCCGGATATATATCACATGTATATACACTGTTGATGGCTTTTGTTGTGCTATAGTTGAGTCAATAATACCGTCACCCACAAAGAACTGCAAGTCCTTTTATCTTCCGTTCGACTTCACGGTTACATATATTACTAAACAACCACTAAATTCGCAATTTTTTGAAATCAAATCACTGAATTAGACTGACAGAAGTGACATCAGATATTTGATTACTTCAAAAGAATGATAAAGATGCCTAAAACGCAGGTGTCCCTACTGTTGAAAACTTGAAATTTCACGTCGATAATTTTCAGATTTGAAAATAATGTAATATCTTCTCAATATTGATTCTTCCTTTCTTCTGTCACAGAAAAAAATAGTGTATTTTACACGGGAAAAATAATAGATTTTGGCTCACGGTTTTTTGTCTTCCTCCGCTACGCGTCGGGAGACAACACAATCTGGAGCTTAAATCTACTACTTTTTTCCCTTGTATAATAAATAACTATTATATATCAAGGGCGTAAAGTAGGCGTTTATGGCCTGCGGCGTGAATAATGGCACGATGGCGTTAGCCGAGGGCCATTACACGCCGAAGGCTATAAACGCATTTTACGTACGTGATACATACAAAATTTTATGCACTAGTGGTTTATTTCCCTAGTCACAAGTAATGACTAGATTTCAACAAACTACTACTCATGTGTTACTCATAAATAATTCAGTTTTTTAAGAGAAGCACAATGTTTATGTGTATAATCTACATATCAAAATTACCGCACGAATATCGCAATTATCGTAAAAGTAAAACACTGTTCACTAACATAGATTCATTCCTTGACATGTAACAATATGTATACTCACTATAAAGCTACCTAAATTTGACGTGGTCAATCAATCTAATGGTTGTTGTCTAGCAATACATCCAAGAAACAAGCTGAAATTGTCATCCTCTGGCTAAAAACTTCAGACAGCCAGAAAGCAACTTATCAAAGAAGGAAGTTATAGCAAAGAAGAACGATAGAATCAGCTGAGAGTTGAAATATAGGTATTCCACAAATGGATGTGTGGATATAAGGGACTTGAGAACAGCGGGCGGTAAAGTGCACTTCATGGTCCGTGGGCGATAATGGGCCTGCGGGCGGTAAAGTACCACTTTACGCCTGCAAATCTGGGCGATAAAGTGCACTTTACCGCCCGCTAGTGCATAAAGATCATTACTTGAAAGTTGCATACATTAAAAAAAAACGTTGCAAAAAATCTTTCATAACCGGCGAATGTATTACTATTTACTATTTTCAGTAATGTCCAAATAACTAATGTATCTGAAGTTCTATCATTGGAAAACAAATTGATTCCTTTGAAGAACTTGTCGAGCGAGACTTCCGCTCTGTGGAACATATCTGTCGCCTATTTGAGGCAACACGAGGAATTGGAAGAATATTTGGAAAAGATGATACCTGAATTGACGTCGTTTTCCAATTATATCGAGAGGTGAGTTTCTTTACGCACTCTAAACGTATTCATGTCCTTTGAAAATTACTCTTTCATTACACTTCTTTGAAATCAACTTGTATTCATCTAAATATATCAGTAATATTGTAAGACAGCGCACGGAAAAACTTTGAGAATAATCTTGGAAACGATTCATACATGCCAAACACTGTATTGTCAGCATCGTTTATTCTCTGTCAATCAAGCGACCGCGAATTTATTACCAGTAAAATCCTGGTCTAGTAGTTCTAAGTTTTTTTCATTCCTACAACCGTGAAAATAAAAATGTTATTTTGTGTCTTTTTCATGTAATATTTCATTATTACATTTTTATTTTCATCGAAGTGTAATAAAAAATATCGGTCATTACTCGTCCAGAAATGATTTTTCCGTGCTTGCATGACTTTCCGTGTTAACACGCGCACGGAAAAATCCCTATTTCCAGACTCGTAATGAAATATACTATTATAAAGTGCTTTTCTTCAAGGCCCCCCCCCCTTTTATTTTTTGAACGGGTCGTTTCCCAAATCGTCCTATCTGTAGAAAGTATTTAAGGGAACAAAAATCCCCCAGGTCATCCGACCATTCCGGAAGAACAGCAAGTTCAAATAATTGGTGAGATGGTAAATCCTCAACAGTCTACTTTCTCCTTCGCTTATATTTGTGAGGTGGGTCCTTCTACTGTGTGGAGACTTTTGAAGAGGAATAAGTATCATCCATACAAAATCAAAATGGTACACCAGTTAACTGAAGATGACCCTGATCGAAGAATAGAATTCTGCGAAATTCTGACGGAAACCATTGCAAGGCATCCTTCCTATCTCCAGAATATTTGTTTCAGTGACGAATGTACATTTTTTCTCAACGGCAATGTTCACAGACAAAATTGCCGTTATTGGAGTGACACCAACCCTCACGTTTTCCGGGATACTCATACTCAATATCCAGAAAAAAATAACGTTTGGGCAGGAATATTGGGAAACCATATTGTAGCACCTCTATTCATTGACCAAAATTTAACAGGTGAACTGTATTTGTATATGCTGTTGACCCTCTTATCACCGAAATCGAGGAAGCGAATCCTAATGAATTTGATATGGATATTGTATTCCAACAAGATGGAGCACCACCACATTACTCCAGACAAGTGAGAAACTATTTGGATAATACTTTTCTTGGTCGTTGGATTGGCCGTAGAAGTCTTACGGAATGGCCAGCCCGCTCGCCGAATTTGACACCTTTAGACTTCTTTTTATGGGGCTATTTGAAGCAGAAGGTGTACGAAACTGAACCTGCTTCAATATTGGACATACGGCAGAGAATAACGAATATTTGTAGAAATATCGACGTTACTGTGTTCGAGAATGTTCGGCGTGAAATATCGAATAGGCTGTTCTTATGTCAAGAAGTTCAAGGCAACCATTTCGAGCATCTTTTGAACTGAACTCACCTTGACCAAATGTGGCTGATGAGAGAATGAAGTATGGTTGCATTTAAGAAAAAAGTCAAAATTCTGCCAAGTATCGGACCTACCTGGAAGTTATATCCTATGCAGCCGGCCGTCTCCTTAGCATTCCCGGGGGTTGCAACCACCCATTCTTCTGTGCTAGTGGACTGTATGGTTTTGGTTGGAGACACTGATATTTGGTTCGAATTTCCCGAACAATCGATGTAGTTGCGAACCGTCAAATTGATGAAAAAGAGAGAGAGAGCGAGCGAGTGTTTTCCACTGAGATTGATTTTTACGAGTCACGAGTTGATACTGATCATGTATCTCAACGTCCGTCAAATCGGCATCTTCTCGGTTGGCCGAACAAATGACCGAATTTTGACTTTACGAGGGAGGATGAATATGATGCAGAATGAGAGTATTCTTTCATTGACTATTCTCAGTGCGAATAAATTGATATTTTAACCCCAAATGAAAATTGATATTTCACGTGATTATGATAAACAAACCAAAAAAATAATAATAATGAAAAAAAAAACAATATTTGTTCAACTTAAACTCTAAATTAACGCAGGGCGTTAACACACCTTTTTTTCGTAAAATATGAAGTTAAACGTCGATGTATTGAGACAATTAATAAATGTTCCGCCATTTTGTAGTAGATGAAGATATTGACTTAATATCCTAGGGTTGTGAATTATTCGTCAGGAGCTTCAAAATGATGTGTCACAAGACCCATCTTTCTATTTAATTTTTTTATCCCACAGGGCGCCTAGCCACCATCTTGAAATTTTCATCTGTCAATTCTACTCCAAAATATAGTATTCATGCACCAATTTCATCACCCCAAGTTTCGATTTTTTCAGTTGATCCGTTCAAAAAATAACAGTGGGGGCATTAAAGAAAAGCACTGTATATGCATTATTTAGATAATGCGAATTCTCAATGTATTTCTTTATATTATTATATTTAAATTTTTTCAAGTTCATAATATATCCGAGGATATTCCTTTTCTAAACTTGTTTTTTTCTGCTTCAAATTCTCTAGTCTATCGACAAAGGTAAAAGAAAGGCAAATGGAGGATTGGGAGAATTTGGATTACCAGGAGACCTTGATCAATCTCTTCGAAATAGTCGAGGGCTTCGATCTATCTGATGAAGTAAGTTTCAGGAGTATACAAGGTGATCTTGAAATCAAAAGTATGGGGTAGCTGGAATTCGAGCCTCATCATTGGGATCTCGAAAAGTAGAAGAGATACGAGATCGGTCAAATGGAGAATACAATATTCTTCCAAAGATTTTTGGAAAAACCGAATATTCGCAATTTCATTTAAATTTTTATATTGCTGGCTGGCTCTTTTTGAACATGTAACAAAACAAATTGCACATTCTCATTGCTACTTTTTCGTTCTACAAGATGGTGTTATCAGATTTCGAAACCGACGTTTCGTCTTCGAGCTGCCATCATCAACTTTGTATTTTCAAATACGGTCCTGGAATTTTATTATGGATTCTAATAGCGTTTTCCACTCGTTGATTCACAGAGCGCACTAGCACAGAGGAGTGAGCAATAGATATAGAGAGTTGATGCGACCTTTTTGTCATCAGAAATGTCAGAATAATTGTTTTTTCAATCAAAAAGTTGAATTATTAAAAGTAAATTTGGTTCCGTTGGTCCACATGAAATGAATTCATCTACCTCTTATTGTGATTTCCCTGTGAGCACTGCCAGAAACCATCCAGAAACAGTCTTATATATAATCTTTGGTAGAAGTCCATGGTAAATCAAAGTGGAATCAAGTATTAAATACTAAATGATACACGAAGTCATCTCCACGACATATAATGTGATTAACACATGACTTCGTGTATCATTTAGTAGTTGGTATTTTTTATAATTATTGAATCAACAATCAGATATGTTCAAAACGCTGTTTCGTAACGAAGTACTTCTGTATCCCAATCATCATTTCTTCATCATCGCTTGTATCCGACGTATCTATGATTTCGAAAATTATTGTAATAATACTAATAAACTTCAATGAGACATTCATCATTATTAAAACTCCAAATATTTTCCCATTCGTGGCTCGAATATTTGAGGTTATGTGTATCGCACCGTCGTACAAGCACAGTTCTGAAAACTCTAACTCTGAGCTGGCATCGAGCAAGTTTGAAAGCCAGTGTAAATCATTTCTCGACGAAAGTTCGCTCTTGAATGGCCGTGTACACCTTAGTAGAAATTTTAACTCAAACCATGTTTATAATGATCCTTTTATACATAAATAATGATTGACGACATAATTCGATCGAAAAATTAACTGGAATGTTTTATTTTTGGACATAAATAATAGTACCTTCTGAAAACGGACCCTCTTATGACGTAGAAACCTCATCTCGCCATAGTTAAAAGAAAATACCAAACGCCCGACGGATACTGAGGCAACTGATATATTAATTCTTTCAACTGTGATCTCGCGCTAATTCACTCTGTCAGAAATCATGTATCATTCATCTCTATCTGGAATAGTACCTCCTGAAAACGGACCCTCTTATGACGTAGAAACCTCATTTCGCCATAGCTAAAAAAATACCAAACGCCCGACGGAGACTGAGGCAACTGATATATTAATTCTTTCAACTGTGATCTCGCGCTAATTCACTCTGTCAGAAATCATGTATCATTCATCTCTGTCTGGAATAGTCTTGTTTCAGTATTAGGGTTTTGACGTCACATCATCGCCTCGTTTTCAGAGGTCCGAAAAATCGGGGATTTCAATAATTTTTCATAAAACGTAGGGAGCTCACAGCAAGAAACGGTTTGCTTTGGTGAGCTAGTTTGGGTGAGTTCTACCGAAATATGAAATGATTTTTTTTGTGATATAAGTCCATTCTCAGTGGACCACGCAAGATGCACTCATTGCCGAAAAAGTTCGAGCTAGTGCGACTAGTGGAAAACGCAATAAGAGCTTTCAATCTCCTAAAATCAACGGTGTATCCATGTATCGCACTTATTCCAAAAAGGTGTTTGTTTGTATATCGTAGACTGGAATCTTTGCCACGATAATACACTACACTGTTTTACCACTAACCAAACCGATTTTTTAAACGCCTCGACACGTGTTTCGCTAACTATGTTAGCATCTTAAGGAGAAGATTTAAAAAACAATGTTGAAGATGACAGCTCAGAGACGAAACGTCTGTTTGAAAATCTGATAACACCATCCTATAGAACAAAAGAGATAGCAATAAGAATTTGTAATTCGTTTTGTTACATCTATTTGAACAGAGTCATGAAGAAATAAAAATGAAATTGGGAATATTTGGTTTTTTCCAAAAATTTTCGTAAGTTTTCGAGATTTTTCAAATTTTGAAACGGCATTTTGTTAGGCATAAAATTACGCAACTTTTCCTCCATTTTATCGATCTCGTATCTCTTCCAGCCACCCTGTACATACAGGGTTCCCCATAATATATATAATATATAGGCCGGGATTGGCGCAGTGGAAGAGCGTCCGTCTCACGACCGCAAGGTCGTGGGTTCGATTTCCAGCACGGGCAAGGAACTTTTTTCAATATTTTATTTACGAATTAAATATTGTAAAGTTTCGTAGCATCGGCTGGGGATAGTCCTGCACGATTCGCTGTTGCGTTCCAATTAACAGTGCTGCTCCTAAAGTGGCGCATGGAGTTAGTAACAAAGCCTACACAGAACACGCAGAAAGATATGACGATGTGGTTGTGAGCATCAGAGAAGAAGTAGGACGGTGTATGTAGGTGGGTGTGGAAAACTACCAGCTGAGCGTGAGAGCGGGCCAGCTGCTTAAGTAGACCTCGGTCTCGGGGGTTAACGATGATAGTTAGCAGGCCTGCCACTACGCATATGGTAGTGAGTACATTACTAGCCTACGTGTATGTAGGTGGGTGCGGAAAACTACCAGCTGAGCGTGAGAGCGGGCCAGCTGCTTAAGTAGACCTCGGTCTCGGGGGTTAACGATGATAGTTAGCAGGCCTGCCACTGCGCATATGGTAGTAGTGAGTACATTACTAGCCTACAAAACACAGCTGAAAAACTCTGAAAAGAGAGCTGATGGGCGGTGCCTGAAAAGGATGTTAGCCAGCTCTCTTGAGCGAACCACATCAGTCATTGAAAACACTTGGGGTTGGCAAAAAGGTCCCATTGGGGACTAGTTGCTGACGTGGAAACGTCCCCCACCAGTACCAGTACCAGTACCAGTCCCCATAATATACTACCTATTTTGATAATATATAATGTCAGTATCTTCTATGGCCTTTGGGATTTTAATAAACATGTTCCAAACCATAAGACTGTTATGTCACGGATTCACCACGACCGTGAAAAAAAAATAACCTCACACTTGAAACAAAATATTCTCGGATAGTCAAGCAGTTCTGAAAGCATTCAGCTCGTACTAAACGTCTAAATTGTTATTGAGCTGTCGAAAAAGACTCTCCACAATAGGAAGACTCAACAACTTATCCAGAAAACATGCAAGAACCCAAGAGTCGGAATATGCTATTGGACTGATAGTGTATAATTGGCATTCAATTACTCCACTGTGTCGTTAGGGATCTAAATTAATTTTTTACACCAGCGGGAGTAGAAGTAAGTTTTTCTGGTAACAAAAGAGGGGCATAAGTCTCGTATTATTCCTTAGGGACATAATGTGACATTCGCCCTCGAGCCACAAATCGCACCTTGGAAAAAATCTTGCATTTCTGTTCCTTGATGTATAATGTACTATTTGCAACACTTTTTACAAGTTTTTTATGTAGATAATGTGTCTATGCGTTGTTTGAAATTGTTGAATTTCAGAGCTCTTTTCAAACGTATCGTCGTGGCCGCCATTTGGCCATGATCCTGGACACGGATACATGATTACGACAGCTATTATGCTGTTCCCTCATTGGTCAGATAATATTCCATTCTCACTGATGAAGCAAGGTTGTCAAGTCACCAATTACAATCAATTTATTAAGAAGTTGTTGTGTTGAGAGTCCTGTCGGAAAATCAAATATTTCATTTGACCTGATAGAAATAGTTATTCTTTTGTGACTTTTTCGAACAACCAGCTTGTCAGAATATTATATATATACTCCATGAGAAAATTTCATGTAAATTTTGGCTGGAGACTTGGCAACATGTTACGTAAGCTGATAACTGACAAGACAACGTCCACCATCATCGTGCGTACTTAGGGAGTATAGGGAGAGTAGGTAGGTGTTTATTTTAGGACCTTGAAATTTACCGAAGAAAGCTAAAAAATATGTAATTGAAAGTTAGTTGAGTGATGATTCGATTTAAGAAATTTGAAAAAATACGCAGGTGGACTTGCCTATTGCTGAAGAAGTCCGCCGAATAAATAAGGATTTGCTTCATCTTGTCTCGAATGATTTCTTGTCCAATATTGGTGTTATTTTCAAAAGTTAGGTCAAGTCGTTTGTTACAGTAAATCCCAAAGAGTGGATCGAAATTAGGTTTGTTTAATTACATTCAAACAATTTGATTAAGCTATCAAAATGGGTAGTCTATCATGGTGACTAAATCTTTGTCACTGTTTGTCTGATTGTATGCAAGGTTTCCGGAAAGATCATGTCGTAAAAGGTAGGTCTGACAGAGCAAGCCAAGATTATGCAGTAATTCAAATGAAAATATGTCTATCGCACTTCGTTACGGAGTTATTGACCTTGAAAGTTTGAATAAAAAATACAACTTTTAAACGGTTTCCATGGTTCATATAGGATGGGACGATTTTTTCCGTTTAATGGAGGCATTTTTGACAGAGGTGACAACTTTGTCACTTTGTTAATCGATATCTTGTACCGTTATAGAGAAAATCGTATACATTCTACCGTTTCAAAGGTGATGAAAACTATTTATTCAATAACATCATGGTACATCAGAGGAAGGAAGGAATGCTCGAAGTCATTTCTACAAATTTTAATGGTGTTGTTACACAATCATAACGGATATGTTTCGGTCTCATAAAATACCATCTTCAACCTAAATGAAAGTTCTTGGCTGAAGATGGTCTTTTAAAAGACCGAAATATGTCTGTTATGATTGTGTAACAACACTATTAAAATTTGTGGAGATGACTTCGATAATTCCGTCCTTCCTTTGAAAATTTTTTCTCCACTTTGAGCAATATGGACTTCCAAAGATTAATTATGGCTCATGCACTCATTGTCATAATTATTGACATCAAATTATTTTCACAGTATTAATTACTTTGGTGGCACTATGGATGAGTTTAGTAATTATGAGTATGCATATGTATGGAGGTGCAGAAACTTTCAAAATCAATAACTCTATAACGAAGTGCGATAATAGTATATTATGTAACAAGTGTTATGAACGTCATTTTAGTAACGAGTATTTCAAGCATGAGCGCTACAGAGTAGAGCGAGTGTTATATTGATAGTAGATGTGCATCCTGTCCATAGTATTGATGAATTTCTATTGAAATGGCTTGTTTACTGACCTTTCAGAATAAGATTTCATCTGACTAAGTGGTCGATACGCTGAGCTGTCAATGTTTTCGATTTCTCAGGTTTGTATCCATATTCTGATTGCATAGTTTTGCTCAGATGAATATTGTGTTTTACGTTTATTGTCATGCTCAGCATAGAATGAATTGCCAAAGATAAGCATTTTTACATACAGTTCTTGGAAACATGCAAGTACCTACCTAAAACATTCTTTTCGATTTCACTTTCGTCTACATTTCGCATACATTTTCAATGAAGAATTCTGATAACAGAAATTGTTTGCATAATAATTCTGATTGCAACAAAATTCGAAAATGACAGTTGACAGTTTCTACAATTGACAGGTCGGACAGGACTCAAACGACTGAAGCTGTGTTTAAAATACTCCGTTGCCATGGTAATGTGTTTAAGAAATTGTGTTGTCACAGTAACGTATTTAATATTTTGAATAAATCACAGATTGTCAATCTATGATTAAGCGTGGTACATATCCGTACGCTTAATGCCATTTTAGTTATGTGAGTAGAAAAACATTTTTTTATATGAAGTACTAACATTATTTTGGCTCACTCTATCAGCCTCGACATGACCTTTCCGGACACCCTGTATACTATCGGTGTTGATTTTTTTTAGGTCGGTAGGAAAACCCTCTACCAGTTAACCTTGAAATTGTTGAAGGAGGATAATTTGCAGTTCAAGGTGAAGAAAAAAATGATGTTGATAGCGGCCCAAGTGGCCCCGAAATCCGAATGTTTCATAACTACGGTGTGTCACATAATATCTGACATTCAAGAGCCGCTGATAGAGTCGCCTTGCATGTCTGTCATTCCGGCCCCTGCCGATGACATTAATAAAGGTAGGAGCAAAGTTGCATCAGTTTCGATGCCTATTCGTTTACAAGGTGGCTGGAATTCGTCGAATTCGTGCCTCATCATTGGGGTCTTCTAAATCTTTAAAAGATACAACTAAAGATTTTTGGATAAAACCGAATATCACCGATTTTATTTTATTTGTTCATAGGTCTATTTGAATAGATGTAACAATAGTTATTCAACCAGCTAGGGTATCAATGAGGGCGATTAATGATCGAGATATGTTAACGTTAGAGTTAGAGATCATTCATCGCTTTTTAATATACGAGTTGGTTACAAAATCTTTCTCGTCGACTATATTTCTCATTTCTCCTGCAATGAAGAAAACTTGGTTCGCGAATTCATCATTCATTCGAAATCACCCAGTAGCCTTCTCACTGACATGAGTGACATTTGACATTTGTCGAGATGATTGACATGGAAAATAAATTCCTTGTGTTAAAAAAACAGGGATTAAATTCGTTACAGATAATTGGAAAGGCTAAATCGTTTACGGAAAATCTTCGATGAAGATTAGAATTGAATAGAATAGAAACTTTATTGATCTATAAATTACCACAATTGTAAGGTTGTTGGACAAGTCATATTGTCATAACCTAGTGTAAAATTGAAATCATTTGATTAAAACATCCTCAAAAGAGATACATAAAATATCAGAACAATACAATACAGTAATTTTAGTACTTTTACAAAAACAATGAGTCAAATAAACGAGGGTTGAATAAAATATGCCATATAAAATTGACTGTAAATTGACTAAAGGCTATTCCTGTCCAAAAACTTATTTGCATTGTAGACAGTGCCAGATATTAAGAATTCTTTACATTTTCTCTTGAATTTCTCGTAGCAAGAGATGTTTTTCAGTGCATCAGGAAGGGCATTAAATAATTTTAAAGCAATGAATTTAGGATATTTACGAAACATTGCGGTTTTATGTCTCGATGTGTCAAAAGTTCTTATGACGAATTTGGTGTTTTCTGAAACGTTATTCAAATTACTCTTAATGAAAGTAGGGCATTTCAAAATGAATGTACCAGATAATGTTGAAATCCGCTTCACTTTAAATGTATATCTACAGCTATCTCTAAATACTAATTGGAATAACAGTCTGATCAGACGCTTTTGAGCAATGAAAACTCGTTCCCAATCACTTGATGAACCCCATGAGATGATGTATGAAATGTTTACAAAACCTTTTTCATCCAAATATGAGATTGAGATGAGAATATCAGATTTTCAAACAGACTTTTCATCTTTGAGCTGCCATCATCAACTTTGTTTTTTTAAGTACAGGGTGATTCACCATAAATGTCCCCCCCTCTAGCTCACTTATTTTTGAACCGTTCTAAAAATTTGGAAGATAATCTAAAATGATTTTTCTGAAATTTTTTTTCCCGCTGCATCAGAAAATACAGGGTGCTCGGATCAAACGATCTACAGAGTACTAATTGATTTTTTTAAATGGAACACCCTGTATTTTATTGTATTTTTAGATTCTTCCTGAAGAGCTGATTTCATCAATGCATCACACTTTGGGTTTAGCGGGAATGATTACAGAGATATAGGGTGTTCAAAATCGAGATTTTTCAACTTTAGGATTTTTTGTGCCGAAACTATTCATTATTGGTCAAAACGGCTTCTATGTTCCCATCCCAACTTTCGATTTACTATCTAGTGAAATTTAATTGGAACATTTACAGGGTGGTTCAAGATTCAGGATTCTGGTAACCCTGTATCTGTTCCAATTATTAAATGTCAGTAGATAGTAAATAAAAAGTTAAGATACGGACATGAAAATAGCGTGACCGATAATGAATAGTTTCGTCACAAAAAAAAATCCTAAAGTTAAAAATCTCGATTTTGAACACCCTATATCTCTGTAATCAGTCCCGCTAGACCCCAATTGTGATACATTGATCAAATCAGCTCTTCAGGGAGAATCTAAAAATACAATGAAAAATAGGGTGTTCCATTTAAAAAAATCAAATAGTACCCTGTAGATCGTTTGTTCCGAGCACCCTGTATTTTCTGATCTAGCGGGAAAAATTTTTATCGAAAATCATTAAAGATGATATTTCAAATTTTAAAATCGGTTCAAAAATAACTGAGCTAGAGGGGGGGACATTTATGGTGAATCACCCTGTACGGCTCTGGAATTGTATCATGGATTTCAAGAGCTTTCAAGAGGGTGCTTGTTTTTAATCCTATTAAACATACAGTGTGACCCACTTCTAATGGAAACACCCCTGTATCTCGAGTGATCGTTGGGTAAGGATCCTGAAATTTGCTGGAGCGGGAGATATACCAAAAATGCCCACTATGACCAAGTGGGTTCGTCTTGGGTGATATACACTGCTCGCCAACAGCCATAGAATCACCCCAATTTCTGGAAAATGCTATTAGGAGTCACAATAGGTCCAAAATCACTTCAGATTCGGAATAATGACGGCCAGTGTAGTAAAGTAAAAACGAGCAGTGTGTGAATATTCTCGCACGTTCACGTGGTCTTTGTTTGATCTACAAGATGACGTATGAATGATTATAATACTGAATTATCATGTTTTGATACTTACTATCACTGAACATACATTCATTTTCGTTGGTCTTACACTACATTGTTCTTGCACTAAGACTTACAGTATTCAATGTTCAGTTTGTTGAGTTATTGTTGAATTAATGTTGAGCTTTTGTTCAATGGTCAAGTTGATATCAAGTTATTATTGTTTAATAATTTGATGTTAATTTTGATCCAATGTTAAGTTAAAGTCATGTTAATGCTGAGTTGATGTTCAGTTAATGTTGAGTTAACGTTAAGTTAATGTTGTCAAGTTACTGTTGAGATAATTATGAGTTAATGTTATGTTAATGTTGAATTAATGCTCAGTTAATGTTAAGGTTATGTTAAGGTGATGTTGAATCAATGTTTTAATGTTGTGTATATGTCAAGTTAATGGTATTGCAATGTTAATTTAATGATGATTTAGTGTTATGCTAATGTTAATTCAATGTTAAGTTTATGATGTTGAAGCAATATTCATGTTGAATTGAATAATAATAATAATAGTAACAATAATCAGAATAATCAGAAAATGATACCTACCCAGGTCTCATAAACACTCATGATGCATATAATTTAAATATGTGTGTTCGTGGGAAAAATAGTGCACAATACTCGTTGGAAAGTGCATTTCCTACGCTCGTTTCGAATTATGTCACTATGCACATTAGTTAGGGTCATGAAAAAATGAAATTCAAAATCGCAAATATTCCTTTTTTTTCCATAGTGGATATCTCCTTTATGTACTCAAACAATGAATCATACCTGAAACTACATTCCTGAAAATTGGTAAATAAATTATTATTTTTATTATTAATTCGGAATTTTCCAAGTTTCGAAATCGCATTTTGTGAGGCATAAAATTGCGCAACTTTGTCCCAATTTGATCTATCCCGTATCCTTTCTACTTTCCGAGATCCCAATGATGAGGCTCTTATTCCAGCCACCCTGTGAAGTATACAGGGTGATTGTTTATATTTTACTCAATAGGTAACTCAGTTGATATTGGTCTTACAGAAACTCTCAAATGGGCAAAAATTAAGTTTTGGGCCATTCAGAATCTAGTACTAGAAAATTCAAAAAGCATCGAAAACCTAAGAATTCTACATGACTTGATATTTTTTGAATGGAACAACCTGTATTTCATTTTCCTGAACGGTAGATCTCTTTGTTCTGATTTCCATTTCAAATATACATATACAAGTGCACATATTCAGCACATCAATATGATATATTCTCAGGAATATTCCCATGATATCAGATTTTTTCTAATTCTTCTAATTAACGAGAAATTTCATCCCAAAAATTGAACAAAATACGAGAAAAAAATCATGTATGCCACTTCAGAACAGTTTACATGATTGAACTCCGCGCGATTGTGCCTACCGCATCGAAATTTGAACAGAGGTGACGTCAGATTTGCTACAGTGTAGAACTTTGGATGGAATGAGGGGTCTAACCTCAAATTTTATTTTGATCCCTACATGTGTTTTATTAGTGCCATTCGATAGTACACGTCGAGCTTTCTCAGTGTTTGAAATATTTGCACTTATTTCAATGTCAGCCTATTTTTCACCGAGGTTATCTTATGTCAGTGTTTTTGAAAAATATAGATTTCTTGGTATAGATCTAAGACAGGTGTCGAAACTATATTTTTCGAAAACTGACGAAGATCCCCAATATAATATTTAATATTTGAAATCCGAAGAAAGAGCTCTACCGATTAGGAAAATAAAATACATGGTGTTTCATTTAAAAAATACCAGTTCATGTGAAATTTTCAGGTTTACGATACTTTCAAATGTTTCTGCAAGACCAATATCAAAGGAGATAGCTATTGAGTAAAATATAAACAATCACCATGTACATGTTGAGCGACAAAAAATTTGAAATCGTTCAACAAATAGAAAAATACAAGGCTGGTACTTCACAAAGTGGAACACACTGTATGAAAAATAAAATTCCACAATTTTTTTCAAAGATTGTCTCAAAGCCGAGCTCAAAGTGAAAATAATCAAGCTCTCCTCCCAATTGGAAGACGCCACCGACAACCAGGAGTTCCTAAAAGCCGACAGCTTAAAAAAAGAAATCGACAAATTGAAAACGGAAATGGAGGAACTAACTGCCGTCCCTGCACCCCCACCCCAAGTCGAAGTAGCCAAAGTGTCAAAAGACGACCCGAAAACCACGTGCCAATGTTTGGATTTGCTGATCGCCCTGTTGGAATTGCCTAGCACGAAGAAGATGACTCCTTCTTTGAGTGCTCTTAAGGATGAGTTTGTCATGCCTTTGTTGGAGACGAATGTGGTTGAGGTTAATTCCAGGGTACTCAATTGTCTGGCAGTGTATTGTTTCATCGACGAGAGTCTGGTTGAGCAGTGTGTCAAGATTCTTTCGATTCCGGTGAGTTTTTCCACGTTACACTGTTTTTTTAATTTTCACATGTAATTTGACACTTTATGTTCATTTCAACACCAGTTACAAAATAAAAATATGGATGGACGAAGGTATCTTTTGGGAAATCTGAACTCGAATCATCCAATTTCCACTAATGAAAATATCAAATGAGTATTTCGTGAATGTCTTCGCTGATTTGTGACTATATTGATGTTTGACGGATACTTCAAAGTGACAAGCAAATTCAACCTGACTACAATTTTTTTTACATAATCGGTACTACTCATGTAGAACCGGTAATTTTTTTCGTTCAAGCAGAATGTTTCTCAAAATTACATCGTTACATAAAATAATGCGTTTTCCTAACTGATTATGTAAATATCTGCACTGGCCGATCTGTTCCACCAGATGGCGAGAAAATTTTCGGCGGCGTTGCCGATACCACCAATAACACCACGAGCTCGACCAATCCTACCAATAGAAGTCTTCATAACGATGAATATATCTGAATTCAGGGAAACTTTGAAGCAGAAGGTTTTATCAAAATAAATGCAGTCTGACTTCAAAGTGAATTTGTTGAAAAAAACCTGAATTCGTCGAGTATTGTTCGAATACCGAGTAAAAATACTGACTTCAAAAGTTATACAGCGTCTGCAAGAAGTATTTGGTGAGTCTGTAGACGCTGAATAATTCCTGATGTTCTCATACATTCTTTTCACAAAAAAGATAGTCTTGAGTGCTGCTGTATATCCTTTGTGAAGAACTTGCCCGTCTTGAAGGTTTTATTTGAATAGATCCGGCTGGAAGGACCAATATGTTCGTTGCATTCGTATCGCAATCCTTTATTTTTGATTCATGATTTATGTTTCTAGAGTCCGACCACGATAACTTTGGGACAGCACGTGGTCGCGTATGCATTGAATATGCATATCCGTTGCGTCACATGCTGTCCCAAAGTTAACGTGGTCGGACTCTACAACACGTCTTCATGTTGATAACAAATGAAAATCTCTCTTATTATATAGGGTTTACAAGAATCAAACTATCATATAGCTTGATTAGCACTAATAACATTGTGTTCAAGTTCTGCGTCTGCGTAGTTTAATCAAAGCAGAATTATCGGAACTTCAGAAACATTCTTCATATTTTCCAGATAATAACGTACCGAAAAATCCCGAACTACAACAAAAACGCCCTCTTGATATCGGTGAAAGCGATCGCCGATCTGTTCCACCAGTACGGCGAAAACATTTTCGGCGGCGTTGCCGATACCACCAATAACACCACGAGCTCGACCAATCCTAACAGGAGAAGGCTGTACAACGATAACAGTGATGACAGTTTCTGCGGTGATTCTCCCGGCAGGTTCCATTTGGAATCGATCATCGAGGTTATGTTGGACATGCTAGATGACGAGGTGAGAGATTTTTCGAATGAATGTAAAAACCCTGAAGAAATTGATTCAATGCAAAAGTGATTGTCAGTTATTGAAAATAGAAGTCTTATACTATAAAAAATTCTTTTTCGTGCAATAGTATGCCAAGAGAGTACTTCTCTTTCTCTACACAGTACGCGACGTTGAACTTTGCAGTCGTTACTCATAGCAACGGCTGCCAAACCAAAGCCCACTTCCGAATTTGACATTCCTAAACTACGACACAAAGCTTATTCAGTGTCAGATCATTTTATTTCATTATCCTTTCTTGGAATTCCTATAGCATATAATAGATCTGAATTTTTGACAAGGTATTTACTAATGAAATAAAAATCGAACTGGCAACCAGGTCCACGCGGAGAGTGAGTTGACAACAACTGACATTTGCTGTTGTCAAATTAATTATTCACGAAATCCGATAGATTTCACGTGTGAATAGGGCCGTGATGTGAATATAAGTGTTTGAGGTCGAAGAAAAAATTGTATATGCACTGTATAGAACACATTGTATGAAACGAGTTTCTTATATTGTTGTCATGAATATGAATAATAATAATAATGTATCAATACTTGAAACTTGAACATAAACTGGGCGTCAATTGAAACGTTAATAGTGAAATTTGGCATCAAGTTTGACTTCTCGTAATTTCTAAAATATTGAACGAATTTTGAATTGCCGCCCAGATTCTGAATGCCTTTTTCATCGTTCCTTACAGCTTCTTCTAAATTGATCAGGACTCGTGATACAGGGTGAAACAAAGTTTCGTGCATTTTGAAAAAAATGTCTCCGCCCCCTCATTTTGTCAGAAGACCACGATGCTCATATTTTATTCGGGCATTTCATAAATAGCAACCATACCTCGGGACGTTTTCGAGTTTCTGCCAAAAACTACTGTGGTTTCCGAAAAAAAATTTTTTTTTGCATTTTTTTTAAATGGACTAATTTTAGAGAAGTTCCATAAATGGATGCTTTTATATGCATTTCAGGAAATCGTTGGAGCAGATATGTATACCAGGTTACTCAAAAACAATCAATAATTTATTACTTCCTAGTCTATGATAAAAGTTTTCTACCTTAGTGAGCAGTAAATCAACACATCTCATCAACAAATACAAACAACGATACCTTGTTTCTATAACAGCGTATTGTTGAAACAATGTAGGTATGCATAGAAGTTATATCAATTGCCAATTTTCATGAAAACGTCAGTGTAATTCGCGTCCTAAAAAATTTAAAGATGCCTCGTTCAAATCGGGTCGAAATGGAAAATATCATTAGGTAAGATCACTATAGTGATATTAACTATAATTCAGTACAGATAATTATTATTTCAGGTTACGACGATTAGGATATACCCAAACTCATTTGAGTACCATTTTCAATAAGTCTGTCATGACAATAAAGAGACTGATTCATCGTTTTGAGGATACAGGTAATTAGTCCATTTAAAAAAAATGCTAAAAAAATTTTTTTCGCGGAAACCACAGTAGTTTTTGGCAAAAACTCGAAAATGTCCCGAGGTATGGTGCTATTTATGAAATGCCTGAATAAAATATGAGCATCGTGGTCTTCCGACAAAATGGGGGAACGGAGAAATTTTTTTCAAAATGCACGTAACTTTGTTTCACCCTGTATCATGGATCCTGATTAATTTAGAAGAAGCTGTAAGGAACGGTTCGAAAGACGATGAAAAAGGCATTCAAAATCTGGGCGGCAATTCAAAATTCGTTCATAATTTTAAAAATTACGAGAAGTCAAACTTGATGCCAAATTTCACTATTAACGTTTCAATTGACGCCCAGTTTATTAGAGTGTTATTACAATGGCGCAGTCGGACGGAGTTATAGAATCGGAATTCACACGAATTGATTACCAACATGCAGAAGGATCTGGAGGCCGAGATAATTATCAAAACGTTATGTCTGGTGAAGATGAACGTGATCATTTGATGACTAATTGAATGACAATCATGTGAAAGAAGACAGAACAGCCAAAAATTGCACAATTCAATGGTATTGATGAAAAAGGAGATATTGTATAGAACACATTGTATGAAACGACTATCTTATGTTGTTGTCATGAATATAAACAATAATAGTAATATATCAATAATTGACACTTGAACATATTAGAGTGTTATTACATGCACCTCGGCGAAAAACTGTCTATTTTCTCGCCTGATTGCTAGCCTCGGCAATCAATTTGCAGACTCGACTATAATGGACAGTTTTTCGTCCTAGGTACATAAATAACTATTGTGTGTTTCATATTATCTTTTTCATGAAACAACCATTTAAGGACATAAAAAACGACCAAATAACTAAATGAACGGTTGCACGCATATTTCGTTGTTGAAATTCTACAGTTCTCAGCACATTAAATGGACCACTCATAATTTGACTCTATTTTGAAGACCTGTATTTTTTGAAAGAATTATCCGATCTTCATGCGGTTTCCGATATCAGATGAGATGTTTCATCGTCTTCAAAGAGAGCTAGAACACTCTGAAAAAGTCCGCAGAACAAAACTTACACTGTGTAAAGTGGAACCATTACACTATGATCTACATTTCCAATGCTGCCAGAACTTGAGAAATTTTTTTCTGATCAAAAGTCAGTCCTATTATGATACACTGGGACCTAACCTGGGGATTTTTTCGTGATTTCTCCTTAATTGGCCATTGAAACAAAAAAATCGATTTTTTTCCGAAAATCTTGCATTTCTTGAATTTTTCGTCTAGAACTCCACTTGAGCTGACTATTGGGAAGAACTGTTTTCATGTTCTGTGGAGGACAATGAAAGACGAAATAAGCATTATTGTGGAATATACAGGATGATAGGAAAATAGGACAAAATCTCATTTCAGTAAAAAAAAAAAGTTGACTAAAACCATGGCCCATTCGATTCAGTATATTCAGGAACGGCCTTCTCGATATCCATTATTTATATTAGAGTATCAACTCGAGACATTTTCGAAAATTCGCCTCTAATTGAAATACAGGATGAAAATTTTCAATTCAAACTTGTTTCCTGATATCGATGATTCTTATCAACTGATTTCCAATATTCATTGCATAAGTATGAGACACAGAGTATTGTTGTTCAATACACTGAGTGTTTCACAACTTATCTGACAAATTATACAGACTATATATATTATATACAGACTAAATTATTCGGAACCTACTATGAACCTTTACAGAAGAAGAGAATTATTAGATCGATTCACTATATAAATTCAAATTAATGTCGTTCATTCATTCAGTTAAACATTGTCAAAAGCATTCAAATTTGGTTTTCCAAGTCAATAGTAATCACCACAACCAGACAAGCAGATCATTTTTCTGTCAAGAAAATTAAATCAGATATTGGTAAAAAATCCATCTATCACAATGGAATGATACAATACAATTCACTACCAAATAACTTGAAGCTGATTAATAGGATTGAGAAATTTAAAAGAGAATTCAAGAAACATCTACTCTTGTAATATTGACATCTTATCTCACTTTTATAGTTTTCTTGTACAATTACTATAGTTTTCAATTGGGTACCTAACAGCTGAGTCAATTGAGGATCATTTTCATTTGAAAAAAAAAAGATTCTTTTTGAGTGTGAGTCTTATTTTACTGTCTTCTTTATTTTATTTTGTCAAATATATTTATGTATTCACTATGTTCCCTGCTATAAACAAATGTTGTTTCTTGGGAATAATAAAGTTGATTGATTGATTGATTGATTGAAATTACGAACTCTAGAAAACAATAATGTTAGAAGAATGTGGTGACCAGCATTATCTCAAGATTTGAATTTGATTGAACATGTGTGGAGCCGAATGAAACTTAACCTATCGAGAAGGCGAGAGGCACCCCAAAATAATGACAACCTTATCCAAGCTATATCAGAAGAATTGGAGGCAATATCAATAGACTTCATCAACAACCTCATAGAACCTATGCCAAACCGATTTCATGAGGTTTTGTTAAATCGGGGAGGCCCTACTAAGTACTGAAATTTAGGATATAGAACTTTTTAGTTGGATCTTCATAATGCTGAAGAGTTCACTAATGTCATATTTCGCCAATAGTGTTATAAATTTTATTTTCCATCTCGTTTTACTTCAATAATAAAATTATTATGTGATCGACTTCTTATGTAATATTGTAGTTGTGGTTAAAATTTTTCAGATAAGTTGTGAAACACTCAGTATATTGAACAACAATACTCTGTGTCTCATACTTGGGCAATAAATATTGGCAATCAGTTGATGAGAATCATCGATATCAGGAAACAAGTTTGAATTGAAAATTTTCATCCTGTATTTCAATTGGAGGCGAATTTTTGAAAACGTCTCGAGTTGATAGTCTAATATAAAAAATGGATATCGAGAAGGCCGTTTCTGAATATACTGAATCGAATGGGCCATGGTTTTAGTCACCATTTTAGATTTGTTTTACTGAAATGAGATTTTGTCCTATTTTCTTATCATCCTGTATAATCCGCAATAGTGGTTTTTTCGTCTTTCATTGTCCTCCACAAAACATGAGAATAGTTCTTCCTAATAGTCAGCTCAAATGAAGTTCTAGAGAAAAATTTCAAGAAATGAGATTTTCGAAAAAAAATCGAATTTTGTTCCAATGGCCAATTGAGGAGAAATCACGAGAACGTCCCGAGATGAGGTCCCAGTGTATCATAATATGACTGACTTTTGATTAGAAAAAAAATTCTCGAGTTCTGGCAGCATTGGAAATGTAGACCATAGTGTAATGGTTCCACTTTACACCCTGTGTAAGTATTGTTCTGCGGACTTTTTCAGAGTATCCTAGCTCTCTTTGAAGCCGATGAAATATCACATCTGATATCGAAAACCGCATGAAAATCGGTCAATTTTTTTCATGATATACAGGTCTTCGAAATAGAGTCAAATTATGAGTGGTCCATTAAGTGTGTTGAGAACTGTATATATTGACTCATAATAACATTATTCTACATTGTATATGTACGTGGAATTTACAGTGGATATCATAAGCGTTACCGACCAGACATTTATTGATGCATTAGTCCCTGATATTGTCCTCAGAAGTGAAATGCTATGTTCTTGATCGCAAACAATACCTATTCACTGACAAATATAAATGGGGTCATTGATTGAAAACGTTTGCAGATTCATTTATGCACATCTATATTTCCAGATTGTGCAGTTTGATTTTGGCACATTTTTTGATTTTCACCCGTATACATTCCAAATGTCATTTCAATGAAAAATAGTGTGTATACCATGGCCTTGAAACTTTTTGGCGACCTCGAGATTATCTTGCTTTGATGATAACTTCTCTTTCGGTACGCCAAAAATGTTTCTTCGCGGCCTAGGCATACCAATAAGTTACACCCTGTATAATAACCCTGGTGCCGCCTATATTATCGAAACAAAAAAAACTTCAACGAATGTGTTTTTCAATTCCAGGTTTCAGAAATCCGGGAGACTGCTGTGGCAGCGATCACGAAATTGGCCATGAACAACTTTCCTGTCACTTCTCCTTTGATCACACGTATTGTATTGAAATGGTACAATCCTTTAACAGGTAGGCTGTTTTTTTTATTTCCTCAATATCCGGTGATCTATGTAATGGTGCATAAAAAATGGTGTGTAAGAATCTGCCATTTGAAAAAGTACTTTCGAAGTTTCTGAGCAATCTGAGTACATTCATGAATATTGAATATTTGAAATTTGAATATTGAAAACGCCACTATTTACATTTACCATTTTTTTAACGAGTAATAATTATTATTTCCCTAGATGCTGAAGTGACTTCTGTACATTATTGTATAATCACTATTTTGAGATGAACCAATACCAAATGCTACTTTTTTGTTGATTGAATTTTCTTCGCGCTCTGAATGCACAATGGGCTACTGGACTAATCGCTCCGCCTCGCGAATGCAAAATTCGCTTGTCAAACAAAGTGTCACTTTTGATCATAATAAAACAATCTACTATTTGTCAAATTTCATCCAATTTGTTTCACTCATTTTTCAACAGCGTGCAAAAATTGGTTTCTTTATATAAACTTTGAACTCGTCTCACGGACAAACGGTACATTTTTCTATAGGAATAAGTTGGGTCGAATCAACTTCTTTTGAACTGTATCACACGTGATACCTCTGTGTCCCAGCAATTTTGGGACTCCCCCTGTATAATCCACTTGCCTAAAACCAGAGCTGGGCCGGGTACTGATAAATTGTACTCGAGTACCGGGTACCGGGTACTGTTTATAATTGAAGAACGAGTACAGAGTACCGAGTACCCCACTCATTGGATGTACTCAAAGTAAAGTACTCCGAGTACAAGTACCCGAATTTCACGGGTACTCATTTCAAGTACATTTGAATAGAGAATTGAGAAATTTTGCATCAGTATTAGTAACCATATTTATTAAACAAAATAACTTAACTTGCAATACTATACCCTTACCTCTTAGTTTAGTGTGGTTTAGTCTTAAGAAAACAACAGAATCGATACAAAAAACACTTGACTCTATAACTGTTACACAGTGTACAAAACAAAAACTCCGCGTTTGGTTCTGATTGAAGTGCTGACTGATAATGATGATATAACATATAACAGCGGTTTCCCGTGTTGCACTCGCATATGCAGAGACAAGTTTATTCTTGCAAAAAGTACCCGGAAAATGTACTCGTTTTTCCCGAAATGCTACGGGTACGAGTACCGGGTACTTTATTGAAAATGTACTCGGGTACTGGGTACTGAGTACACAAAATGTACTCAGAGTACAATATTTGAGTACTTGTACTCGAGTACTGCCCGCGAGACTGCCCAGCTCTGCCTAAAACCTTTTTTTTTTCAAGTGAACGGCTCCGACAATCTGCAACAACTACTCGGAATGCTGATTGTGAACTATACGAACTGCGTGAAAGGCGCCCGAGAGGTGATCGTGAAAGCGGTGGTGCCGATACTCAACAGCATCGCGAACGCGCCCAACACGAGCCCTTTGGCCGACGTGGATGTCGACAACCTTTTGCGGTTCTTGGCCGTCATCACCAATGCGGACGACAAGAAGGTGAGTGATATATAGGACTAAATGATGATGAAAAGACACTGAGTTTTGTTCATAAATCATTGAAAAGTATTATGCCGACGAACCTGAACTCTAAACACGGATACATGTATGAAATCGCGACTGGTGGGGATAATAAGAGACATTTCTCTCCTCGTTTCTATAAAATAAGGATATGCATATTATTTCAATATATTTGTAGTGGGACAAATCAGATGGTTTGCCCCAAAATGTCACTGCGTTCAACAAATTTCTCTATAAGGGAGCCTAAAAAAAATCCAGTAGCCTGTCAGTGACACTTTGTTTGAAAAAATGTTTGAAGGAAAGAAATATAGATATATTGAAAAAATATCGAACTTCAACTTATCTTTGGATGTTTAGGGAACGAATCTGCTCCCGTTCTCAACATGAAAATGCAAAATATTTTTCTCTGGAAGTTGTGCACTGCTTATACAGATGAAACGAAAAAAAACACTCTCAGTAAGGACTAAAGAACACAAGTACAGGGTGGGCAAAATTGGTCGTTTTCACGGACTATCTCAATATGCAATACAATGAAAGATGAACAGTTCAATCAGAATTAATTGATACAAGAAGAGAGTTGAATTGATAAAATATATTTCTTCAGTTCACACTCAAATTTTGTGACGACCCTAATAGATTTTATTCTGTTGAGTAGACTATTATAAATATTTATTCCACAAAAATACAATGAATTTTTCCCGAATTGGGGTTTTATTTTGACTGTTTTCGAAGGTTCACTTACGAGTGTGATGCTCATGGGTATCAGAATTGATATTGAAAGTAAGATTCTTTCTATTTTTAGTGAAATTAATAAAAATGCATACTTTCATTTTGAATAGAGAGTCAATATCTAGCAGATCCCTTTGTTTGTATAGTCTAGATGTTGATTCCAGAAATGGTAGTTTATAAATACATTTTACGGAGTTATTTTGAAGAGATTTCAGAGGTTCCTAAACAATTTAGAGTAAATCAACCTGAAATAAATTAATATCAAGTATTTAAGAGGTATGAAAGACCTCAATTTGTATAATATACCAACAATGGGAGATATTTTTTCTGAGCAATTGAATATGCGATTACCAAGATAGAGACTGGTCTATAGTTGAACCTAAGAGTTCGGACTTTTTTGTAGGGATTATAAAAAAATTCCGGAATTTAAAATTTTTAATCTCGAATGGTGGAGATAATATCAAACACTTGTACCTTCACGGGTAAGTGCTCAGACTAAATAACAATAGAGTGACAGAGCGATTCGGTCATATGTTCGTTTGAACTGCTAGTTGCTACCTGTGAAAGCTCCAGCTGCTTGGTATTTACTGTAGTCTTGAGTGCTGCTTCCTATCCTTTGTAAAGAACTTGGCATTCTTGAAGGTTTGATTCGAAAAGACCCGGCTCGAAGGACCAATATGTTCCATGCTTGATAGATAGTGGACTGTATTTGTATGGTTATATGATAATGAAATGAAGGATATGAGAATTGCAATTCGTATTGCAGTTCTTCCTCATTTATCTATTGATTTTATTGATGAATCTTATATTTATATCTATATAGAGTGAAACAAGTACTAAATTTCTCTTCAGGAATTGGCAAGCACGCATCTCGCCATGGCGCACATGTTCTGCTACGAAATGGTGAAGAAGAAGAACGCCAGCATCGTGCACTATCTGAGCAAGATGATGCTGCTGTTGGAGATCCCGTCGGAGAATAGTGCGTTGGCCAAGGAGTTGGTGGCGCAGCTCGAAGTGCTCTTGGACGAGGTAAGGAATGTACTCAGTTGTTTTATACCCTTGTTTTTGTGTTATTTATTAACTATATTTTATGTTCATATATTTTATATCTTTGTACAAATAATTGGGCATAGTGGATCTATCCAATTGCTAGTTTCACGCTTTGTTAATAGGAAGAATGTTTCTTGGACAAAAAGCTCAGTTTTGATTGATTGATTGATTGATTAATTGATATAAATGTTTCACAAACACTTTAGAGTGAGAGGAGACGAGGATCTATCCGTACCCGTTAAGATGTCAATTTACATCAAGGGACCCTAGCCAGAGCCACCTTCGGCTAAATCGCTCATCTCGCTCGCGGTCAGCGATGCTTATCGAATCATACATGAGATGCGAGCATATTATTATTTAATACGCGAGGATATCGTGGCGCCTTCTTTCTGCTCCTATCTCTATTTCACTGGCACTCCATAAGTTCTTGAAGGTTCTGAATTATTGTTAATAAGAATTTTCAAAAAATCCATACTTTCTCAAAACACTTGTATATTCTTCTAAAGAGAAAATATTGACATGAATTGAAAACCATTGTGTTGAGGAGGTATCCCAATCCAATAGAAAACATAAGGCGATTTCTGAAGTACATCAGTTTCAGATGTGATGTCTCTTATCCGATGCGGGGTGTACCGCACGATACACTTCTTTCTAGATTTCAAGTCAACTCCCTAGAAGAACGTCGTACATATTTGGGAATTTTTTTTTTACACAAGATCTTAGTCTCGCGTATTGACTGTCCATACCTGCTTGCACGTATTAATTTGCACGTTCCTAGGCTACCTGTACGCAGTTTCACCACGTTTTACCTGCCAGTCGCTCAAACAAATGTTCTTCTTTTTTCGCCTCTGTATAAAATATGTCGTGATTACTTGTCAATTCAGAATAGAATAGATATTTTTTCCTGCAAACCTATAGACATCAAAAGGGCTACTTTACCATAATATGTTATATATTTTTTGTTGTTGTTTTAACACTGTAGCGCTGTGTATGAACTTTTTTCTCACCGTAGTTTTTTTCAGTTCATACACATCGTTATGCAGTGTGTCATTTATTTTATGTTTATATGCATATTTCCTTCTCTCTGTTTTGTTTTTTGATACAATATCCACACAGATTTTGGACCAAAATTGTTATTTCCCCATTCTGTAATTGGCCTCGGTTGTTGAATTGGTGTACCGCTAAAATAAAAAATAATGAAGTTTAGTTTAACCACTCAATTTGCTACAGAAAGTTGAGAAGTTATGGATGAAAGAGTAACGTTTGTTTTTCCCTGTATAATGATCGAGTGAACTAAGTGCGAACTAAAATTCAGGATAAAATTTCGGAACATGAATCTACGATTTGGTCGGACAAGAATTATAAAAGTTAGAGGGTGATCAATTTAGGTACATTTTTTGTGGCTTTTTTGCCGGTTAGTGTATTTGACGAGTTTGAAGTAGTATACAGCGTGTATCATAAGTATTGGGCCTAAGCTCAGAATTGTGTATTACAAGTGAAATTGATACTGGGACTTCGAACGAATTGTTTTTTTTTAAGTTGGTCTCTTTCGGAGACATTCGTCCTTGAAGGTGAATATCTGAATGGGGTTTTTAGTTGATTGTTTCTTCACATTATCATTATTATTATTATTATGCTCCCTAGTAAACACCATTCGAAGATGACGTGAGTCATTTAGATATCTACAAGGTGGGCCAAAAGAAGTCATCCGATGTTATTTGGCTCTCATTTTTTTTTCTAAATGAAAATCTTCGATTCTGTTTTTTGATTATGTTTATTTGGACCTTCAGAATTTTATTGGTCAAGTCGAGAAGATGATATCGGCCAAATGGGCGCCGCCACAATTGATTACTCTACGGGCTAGTTTTATGGCATTTTTCATCACTTTGGCAAGATCTTCGGGCGACAGATTCCGGCACTCGTGTCTCGGGTCTCGGAAAACTTCGGAAAACCCCACAAAAAAAGTCTGAAACGGTTAAATCGGGCGATCTTGCGGGCCAGAGCAAATCGCCAAAACGAGAGATGAGGCGATCTGGGAACGCCGCCTTCAGAATATCGGTTGTGGCTCGCGCAGTGTGTGCCGTTGCTTCGTCCTGTTGGAACCACATGTCCTCCAGTCCTAATTCGGTCAATTGCGACAGAAAAAACTCGGTAAACATGGCCCTATAGCGCGCATCGTCCACTGTTGTCGTTTGACCAGCGGCGACCTCGAATGCCCGATGACTCCTCCAGAGTAAACAGCGCACCATGCAGTCACTTTGAGTGGGTGTAATGGCTCCTCGTGCATCACTCGTGGATTTTCAGTGCCCCAGAAGCGTTAGTTCGGCTTGTTCACGTACCCGCTAGGTGGAAATGAGCCTTGTCGCTCATTATGATTTTGGTCGAAACATCGTCCACGAGATTGAGGATGGCTTGGCTTGGATTATTCCGCTTTCTTGGGGAGTGTATCGCTCCATGGCTTGTTCACTTGTATTCTACATCTGTATGGTTCACAAATGTCGAAACAGATCTGACATTGGCCTCCATTTGCAAAAATAAGAGCAACTTCCAATAGGAATATTTCTTTTGGCCCACCTAGTATAAGAAAGGTGCATCTTTTTATATCACTTATGGAAGAAAACTTGACATTTCATTTATTCTGGCAGTTTTTGAATAAAATTTTCTAATGACAACAAAATAACATTTCAGAATTTATTTGTTCATTTGATTTGCATACAGGTTCATGAATAAATTCAGTTTGGGTCGCAGTTTCGGCACCAATAATAGATTCCTGACATCTACCTATTATATTTGCATGAAAATACTAGTTTGAAATGTAACATTTTATATTCTTCCATTTTATGTTCATTTCGGGATACTACAAGTGATAAGAAATTATAATTTTGTCAATTAATTTTTCATAAGTATAGGTACATACTACTAGTAGTAGAAAAAGGGGAGGCGGTCGCCTAGCAAGTAGGCCCCAGTCAGCCTTTTTTGCCGACCCCTGCTCTGCACACGTCATGTGCACATAATATCTACTATTCCTTCTCCTAATTCCCCTTTTCGAACCTCCGTGGATTTCTGATGAAGGTCAGTATGTCCGTCCACCTTAGTAATTTGATATTCCTGTTGAAGCGTATCAGTACCAGAGATTTCGAATTTTAGCCTTCCATAACGCCCTACACTGGCCCAGGTAGTGGTATGACATTCTATATAATAGATGCAGTTAGGGCATCAATGGATTCTTAGCCTATTAATTGTTGATTTCTACCCAACTGAAGGGACACAAAATCACTATTTTAGGACGTCAAAATGTTATTCTGTCATTGAAACGGCATAAAAAAAATTTCCAATACGCTGGTGGGTACCCACGAGAAAAAAATTCCACTAAAATACATACGTTGCTATGGTAATTTGTTATGTTGACAACATAAATATGGACTTGGCAACAATTCTCGAATGGGGATCCAATAACTTGGTAGATTTCAATGCAAACAAAACACAAGCATGCCTTTTCTCTAGAAAAGCCGATCTCACTGAGCTTGTCAGGAGTAACCATTCCTTTGAAGACATCCATTTCGATGCTTGGTATTACTATCAGCAATAACCTTTGTTGGAAAAATCACGTGAGATCAATTGCTAGAAGTGCATCCCGAAAACTTGGTTTTCTGTTTCGGGCCAGGAGCTATCTCACTTCCAGTCAGCTGCTTATGATCTATAAGGCACAGATCCGACCTGTCCTTGAATACTGTTCCCATATTTGGAGTGCAGCACCTAAACATATCCTGGAACTGTTGGATTCTGTCCAAAAACGGGCAATTCATCTCGTGGGTGATGCCTCGGTCACAAACTCACTCACTTCTCTGGAACACCGTAGAAAAGTTGGCGATCTGGCTGTATTTTATAGATACTTTAATGGACGATGTTCTTCTGAAATATCAACAATTGTTCCTTCCTTGGCAGTCCCTGCGAGATTAACCCGTCGAGTTGAGGCTTCGCACCCCTTTGTGGTCACTTTAGAGACCTGCAGAACATCTCTTTCCAAAGACTCGTTCTTCCAACGAACAGCGAGGCTCTGGAATACATTGCCAAGGGAAGTGTCCCCGAGGCATATAACCTCCAGACATTTAAGAAGAACACCAATTCCTACCTTATTTCCCTTGGCTCTCATGATGTTCTCTGAACATTACAGGATATCCCTTTTGGTGGGAACCAGAACATAAAAAAAATGAGAAAAATAAAAATAAAACCCAATGTAACTGTATAAAAATCACTGGTGTGGAATTTCCGTATAATACCGAATATTGGCTATTACAATCACGCAGCACTTTTGAAATCGTTAGAATGTCAGATTTTGATATGTGAAATAAATAATCAACTAAAAATCTCCATTCAGCTATTACTTTGAAAAAACTTTTAATTTGTTTCACGCTGGCCCATCAGTGTTTTGAGACATAAAATTAACAATTTCAGGAGAACAACTCGCTGGACAAATCATCCAGAAGAAACCTCGTCAAGTTTCTGACGAGGTTGAAAATCAGCATCGAAGAAACGCAAAATGCAACTAGAGACGGTCCACTAGAAACCATCGCTGAAGAAACAAGCGAAAACAACGTCAACGTTGAAAATCAAAACCAAGAAGAAGAACCAAGCGAAGCAATCGAAAATCCGGTCGCGATAGAAGAAAACTTGGATAAAGACAAAGAAAAAACAGTGGAAGACAGTCCACTGAGTGGATCCAGCGACCTAATTTCGAGTTCTAGTAGCGGCAATAAAGACACTAGCATCGAAAATGACATTTCCCCATCTTCAGAACAAGCGACCAATGTAGCCGTGACAGAAAACAAGAAAAAACGGCCTAGGCGATCGGCAAACGACGCTTTGTTGAGCTCCAGCGAGACAGACGACGAGGCCAAAAAGACAGTTCAAAAAAGAAAGAGCAAGAGACTGAAAGTCTGTACTTCAAGGCTGAAAACTCCTACGAAATTGAAACATAGAGAGAGGAGTAAAGGACCTTTGAACGAATCCATCAATGGGGAAGTAGGATTGACCAATGGGGAAGTAGGATCGACTAATGGGGAAGTAGAAAACGAGGATCCAGGAAGGAAATCGCCGGCGAGAAATGCTTTGAGGCGGTCAGGGAGAATCGAGAGGGAAAACGGGAAGGTGACTGGTGTTAGGTGAGTTTTTGGAAAAATTTTTGCTTGCGATTGGTCGGATAGATATTTTTTTCTTGCTTGTATTCAGGTGTCCCAATTGTAGGTGCCATGTTTTCAGTAAGTTTTGCGGAACTGTGCACTTTTTACGTACTTTGAGTAGTGAAGTGAGCTAGCTTTGAATGCCATAATAGTGTTGAGTAATTTCGAGAGTAATTTATCATGCAAAAAGGACTTCATACCCAGACGAACCTCTTTTCTTATCACATTTCGATCAATCAAGTCAACACAACAATTGATTCGTTCTTTGATTCTCAAATTTTCTCTTTTCTATTATAATCTGTAAAATTAACTCACTTATTTACCATCAGTTTTGATTTTGTCAAGTTTTTATGACCGGAAATTAATTCAGATGATCAAAAGTGAAAACACGGAAGAAAGTAAGGTAATGAAGAAATGAAGTTTTGTCTTTGACGGGAAGAAAGTTTGACATTCCATCTTTGTTGACAGGTTATAAAATATCACTTTTCATAAATTGGTTATATATACAGGGTGTTTCATTACTTATTGGAAATATTTCAACCATACATTCCCGAACTCAAAATATGAAGATTTAACCCAAATCACATAGATAAAATATGTCTCCTGTCTGAGTTACAGGGTGTTTTATTAAAAATTTTGAAATGTTTTTTGCCCAGTTCTTCTAAACCGTATTACTTTCATATTTGGAGGGAAGTGTAGGTATTATACATCCAACTGAATTATGTGAAATGAATTTTTCTAGCTATTACCAGAGGCGTACACTTTTGTCCAAATATGAGAGTGATACGTCAAATAGTTTTGAAGAACTGGGCAAAGAACATTCCAAATTTTTTTAATAAAACTCAGACAGGAGACATATTTTATCTAGGTGATTTGGGTTAAATCTCCATATTTTGAGTTCGGGATTCTATGCTTGAAATATTTACAATTAGTAATGAAACACTCTGTATATATATACTCTGTTGATGGCTTTTGTTATCCTAGTTCCGAAAAATAAGCCAATAACACCATCTCCGAAAAAAATCTGCAAGTCGTTGTTATCTTCCATTCCACTTCGCTGTTACGTAAATTACTAAACATCCACTAAGATCTCAATTTTTGAAATAGAATCACAGAATTAGACTGACAGGTGTATTTTTTATTATAAACTTCCGATTTCATGTCGATAATTTTCTGATTTTAATTCAATGTATCAATTCGTCCTTTTCCCTGTAACAGAAGAAATACTATATTATCCACGGGAAAAACACAAGATTTTAGTTCACGTTTTTTTGTCTCCCGAGCAAAAATCTAATACTTTTTTCTCCTGTATAATGAATAACTATTTGTAAAAATTGCAATTTTCAAGTTGGTACATGCCGGCGAGATTTTTTCCAATAACAGTGTCAAAAAATCAAAAGAATAATCTCCAGCAAGGGTCATTGCCTGTGGAAATTTTGTATTATCTGAGATTAAAACGGATGATAAGAATGCGGAGAAATATTTAGGTTGTCTTCACCAGATGAAGTACAAATGATTAAATAACTTTTTCGTCGACTGCCACGAAAATATGATATTTTACGTACTAATTTCCGAACGAAAAACCGACTATTTCTGAAGGCAAATACTTTCCATCCGCAGACACTAATTTTTCGTCCGCAAACACTGTGCGTTCGCTGTCAACTGTCATTTGCTGTTGTCAAATTAATTATTCACGAAATCCAATAGATTTCACGTGTGAATCAGACAGTGGTGTGAATATAAGTGTTCGAGGTCGACGAAAAAATGTAATATGCACCTCGGTGAAAAGCTGTCTATTATTTCGCCTGATCGCAGGCTCGACTATAATGAACAGTTTTTCCGTCCTTGGTACGTGAATAGCTATTTCCGTCGATTTCTTAGTAACAAGTTTGATTAATATACCCGAAATTGATAGTTAATGATCCCTATTAATGCGGAATATGCATTTAAATCGAAAATATAGATTTCATCGAAGATTTTACGTTAACATTATAGCTTTTTAACGTTTCTGAACCGATTTTATTCTCTGGTTTCTTAACATGAACGGAATTGATTTTTCATGTTGATAATTCCAACAAATGTCGCTAATGTCAGTGACAAGTTGACTTTTGTGGCTACTGGGTGAGTGATGATAGTAGTTTCCGGACGAATGATGTATTCACGAGCCAAATTTTCTTCATTGTAGGAGAATTATTATAGTCGACGTAACGTTGTGACTAAACATATAAAAGGACAGGCTGTCTCCGTATATGTTGACCCATACCTGCAGCTTTTACAATACGAGGTGGAAAAAACTTGAAATATGGAAGTTGTGAGACTTCATCTGTACTATCTTTTGGCACTCCCTAAACAAAACTAATGCGAATCGCAAAATGGAGAAAAAGAGTCCGAATCAGTTTTTTCAAATGAAACACCCTGTATATTTTCAACTCTACTAAAAGATCTCTTTCTTTTGTTCACAAAAATATATAGTTTGCTTATGTTTTGACAAGCAATTTTGGGATTCCCTTTCGTGCGCTCCAAGCGATAAAAAAAATTTAGAGAGCTGTGGACACGACAGAAATGCCATGAAAACGAAACGGCATTTTTTTGGCACCTCTGTCGGTTTTTCAATCAAAATTGGTCATTCCGTAGATGGAAAATACGAAATAGTATGAAAGAAGGAATACAAGAAAATCGTGTGATACATGTTTATATTGTTGAAAAATTACTATATGAAAATAAATTACCTTTTTTTTTTAATTTGCCAAACTTTCCATAGTGCAGCAAGAATTCAGTCGAAAACGGCTTGAGGGTACATTAGCAAACTATACAGGGTGTTACAAATTCGTGACTAAGCATGGGGATCTTGGTAACCTTAAGAGATACAGAGAAGAACAGATTTTGGCAAATATGCACCATTTCATGCTCAGCAAAATGCTGATTTGAAATTGGAAAAAAATGCAATTACTTCCGGAGATATGCAGAGAAAAGGAAAATATGCAAAATCGGTTTTAATAAAAGGTGTTTTTGAAATAAGTGCACATAAAAGGCACATCAATATTATACAGTCTAATGAATATTCCCATGATATCAGATTTTTTACCTTTCCCGTCGACCTCGTATTATGCCTTTAACGCTCACTGGTAGACAATTGTATCATTGAACATTAAGGTTCGAACTCGGACTATTTCGAATTCAAACGTCGACACTAATGGTAGTAATGCATGAACGCGATGCTACGGTACGCTCGCTGGTCGATTCAATAGCCAATGTTACACAGTATGCGTTACAGTTGGTTGTACACGAGCGTCTGGTCGAATAAGCTACCAACGGGCATTTGTGTCACATTAAAAATCATCATTCCTCTTTGGGAACAATTTTCACGCAATATTTCAAATTGTTCACATTATTTTATGCATTTGTGTGTCAAATAATTTGGTCAGTATATTGGTATAGTGAAATTATCAGTTGATTTAGTTATGGAAATACATTGAATTCTAGTGAAAAACGAATGAATTCCAGTGATGCGAATATTATCTGTGACAAACATCCCATTTATAAAAAATGATAACAAGACCGTTTTGAGACTAATGCTCATGAGTTCATTCCGATGTTTTTTCATATATATCAAACCGTATACCATTGAATGTACTAGCCATTATATTTATGCGCTCGGAAGTACTTCATCAAATCGATCAATATCATTCAGTGTATTCCCTTAGTAACATTCTATTTTTTCTGATTTCTAAATCATTTTTATGCAAAAGATCTCCTTTCCGAAAAAACATCATCTCGCAGGTACAAAGAATGTACCAAGTATGTAAACAGAAGAGAAGTAGTGTTCTGAGCAAAATATAACTCGACATATTTTGCACAGAACACACAGCCTTGTGAATTGAATGTTTTGTACCGTATCATACATGAATACTATATTTTCATAATTAATCCTCAATAAACAGTTCTAAACGAAAATACTTTTTTTATTGTTATTTCGGACTTCCACATACTGGTATGACGTTCATACCAGTAAGTATCACAAGTCTTAGTGAGTCGTAAAGGTCCGCTGGTAAAACGGTTTACCATTGTTTTTTCTAAATATTTCATAAAAAGGTATTGACTTTCATGAAAAAAACAACATATTTATTGATTTAAAATTTTTTAGTGTTAAAGGGTCAACGTGTATGTTTAATGTTCATGAAATTGATCGTTAATGATCCCTATTAATGTTCAATTTTTCTATCAGTGCATGATTGTAATATTGGCAACCAAACATACACCGTTTCCATTCACTGTTTGCACGATAATTTACGGAATCTGCATTCAAATCGAAAATATGGATTTCTTCGAAGATTTTCCGTTAACGGGTTAGCCTTTCAACGTTTCCGAAACGATTTTGAGCCCTGTTATTTTACAAAAAGAATTTATTTACTATGTTGATTATTTCGACAAATAACACTAATGTCCGTTCGTTTTCAATCGGCGTCCCGCAGTAAGAATGTAGAGGGTAGTTGGCTTCCTTCTGACAGGTTCTGAATATAGTAGTTTTATTATTTACATTATGATTTCTCGAATAGAACTCGATCCTAAACAAAATATCATTGAATCAATGAATCAATGATACTCTCGACCACATTCAAAACGATACTATCCTTCCTCATTTACTGCCATCAGGTCAGAACAGAATGAAGCCGACACCCATGTTACGGTCCTGGTCCGAGACACTCGTGACTTTCGGGGCCACTGGGCGATTGTTAGTTGTTTCTGCATGAATGATAAATTCCCGAACCAATGTTTTCTTCATTGCAGGAGAAATGTCGACGGACATTCTGTAACCACTTATTTTGGTTTTGCAGTCATAACTATTCTCTTCGTCAACCGATTTCCAAAATCTCATGTTCATTTTGAAGCTGAAACCTCAGATGAAGAGATATGAAGAATTTACTCAAGATAGGTGACCCAAATCTGGAACACCCTCAAATCCCGATTGGGAGGAGAATTGAATGAAAATCAACTTGTTTTCAGAAAGATTATTTATTCTGGATGCGTCCAGATCTTCCTTACTTTCAGTAGTCAAGAATTGCCAAGAATTGTGCGTGTGGAAACCCAATGGCAACGACATATTTTTGAAAAAATATCAACTCAACGTAACAAGAATCACAATAAGTGACTGACAAGCCCGACCAGCTGTGGCTCATTCCACAATAGCGGTTTTTTCCTTAATAGTGAAGTACTGGGCTAGTGAACAGTGTGATCTGAATTGAAATTGTTCAGAGCAGAAAAAATTATTCATGTTTCAACAGGGGCAAAATTTTGGGATGCGACGAAATTAGTTTTGTGTAGTTTATGTTGATAGAGGTTTCCTCCTCCCTTCACAGAACCCGCATTAATATTCCTGAACCTGCATTAATATTCCTGAACCAAGCCGAGCTTCCTAAGATGTCCTTTGAACCGGCAGTGCCCTTTTAGGACTCCCGTTAGTATACGAAGTTTATTCTTGCTTGGCACTAAATCAGGGACACCTTTGTTACAAGTGAGAGAAAAATCTTGACTACTATGGCGGGTCGGTTGAAAGAGAAACATTATTGTCTAGTAGGTATGGTGGAAAAAGGAAGGGAAACAATCTTTCAATTGACATCAGTGATTCAGACGCAGAAAAAGAAATAACGTCAAACTCAGATAAGGTGATGTCAAATATAAAAGATAAAGATGATTCGAATGAGTATAATGAGTTGGAACCAATGAAGAGGAACTTGAAAGCGACAATTATTGGTAAGTTTATTATTTTTATGATAATAATGGGAAAAATGCACTAACATAATAATAATGAAATAGTGGCCAATGATTCTGGGAAAAACAGTCCGATTGGAGGATCCAGTAATATCAATCGTAGCGCTAATGAAGACACCACCAGTGATGAGATTATCGCCATATTATCACCTAAAACGGCGAAGAACTACAGAATATCGAGTCTCAACGCAACTGACGATGAGGCTAAGAAAAAGAATCTGAATATAATGAGCAAGAAGCTAAAAGTTTGTATAACAACACTTGGAACGTCTAGATATGAAGGTAAAGACACCACCAGCAAAAGAGTCATTTCCTCATTACCCAAAAGTGGGGTGAAAAGAAACAACAAAACACAATCGAGGCTCCAGAAAAAACACATGTTGTCGAGAAAAATGAATCAAGATATGTTTGGCAAGAGTCTGAGAGTTTGCATAGCGACGCTTGGAGAGTCCAGGGATATCAATTCGAACTCCACTAGCACCAATGAGGACACCAACACTAAAAGAGTCATCGAATCATCACCCAAAAATGTGGCAACTGCGGACGTGACGTCAAACAACAAAGCAACATCGAAACTCCTGGGAAAACACACAATATCGAATAAGTTGAATAAAAAAATGATGACAAAGAATCTAAAAATTTGCATAGCGACACTCAAAGAATCCAGAGATGTTAATTCCAACTCCAGTAGCAATAATGATGGCATCACCACTAAAAGTGTCTTTGAATCATCACCCAAAAATGTGGCAACTGTGTTCGCGACGTCAAACAACAAAACACCATCGAAGCTCTTGAAGAAGCACACAATATCGAAGAAGGTGAATGTGAAAATGATGAGCAAAAGTCCGAAAATTCGCAGAGTGAAACTTGGAGAATCCAGAGATGTAAATTCGAGTTTCAATAGCGTCAATGAAGACACCTCTAGTAGCCATTGTGAAGACAGCATTCGCAAAAAAGTCTCATCACCCAGAATAGTGGCTAGGTTAGAAGTGACAGATAACAAAACAACATCTAGGATCGCGAAAAAACACAGAACATCAAGTTCCAGCAAAATAGACGATGGGCTTAAAAAAGTAAATATGAACTTGAGCAAAAGGCAAAGCTGCATTTCAATAGGGAAAGCTCATACGAGAAGGAAACATGAGACAGTTAGTAGAGGAAGGAAACATAGTGAATGTGGAAGAACGATAGCTGTCAGTACAGTGGATAGGTAAGCTGAGAGTTTCTTAGCTTCGATAAGGTCGGGTAGATGATTTTTTTTTATCTCATTTGTATAAAGGGTGTAGTGTGATATCAATTCCATTCCAGTAATAAATTATTTCTCTAATAACAATTCTGCTTTCTTGAGATAACAACATCTTCAATCTTTTCAAATATATGACGCAACAATCCTAAATGCCGAGTTCACTCTTCCATAAGCTGAAACGTGTGTCAAAATATCTAGAAACTATGTTTGTCAGTGAAGGTCAGTACAGATATTCAGAAAACAATTACTTAAAATTCAAAATATTTGTACGTGGGTCAAGCTTTTGCAAGGCCTTGTGAATGAGGGTCTCATTCTCATTCCATGTGAATAATTTTTTTGTCATTCCCACCCACCCTTTTAGATTGTTTTAGTCAAAATGTATTGGGTTGGGCCTGACGGTATTACTCATTGGTCATGTTCCGATATTGCTGACATTACTGGCCACAGTAAGCAATTTGAGAACACCAAATAGTAGCAGAATAATAGAATAATAATAATAACAGACTGCATGATTATTTAGTTAGAGGCAACAGAATATCTTTATAACCATCAATATGGCTTTCGCAAATCTTGTGACACATAGTCATCTGTCTTGGATGTTGTGACAGAATTTCAAAGGCAACTAGATGCTAATAATTTTTTTTTAAATGTAAAAATGTAAAAACTTCACAAACTATAAGATTTCCACAAAATTTTCAAACACACGACATGTTTCGCTAACACAGTAGCTTCGTCAGGTGATATACTGGTACAATGAACTAAACTAACGTTGGCTTGTTTAACTTTTATATATCTTACTTTCCCAACCTGAAGGATTAGTTACCTGTGGACAGGTACGATAAACCTCCATTTTCGGAAATTAGGCACAATATCTACATTAAATTATGGTATACCGGATTAACTAGAAAGAGTTGATAGCAAATACATATTATTACTTACTAAGAAAACAAATTCAACAGTGGTGAACTATTGAGGTCTAATTGATCATTAAGTAAAATGTCAAAATTTCTGAGTTTGTTGATTTCTAATGATTCAAAATGATTGAGTTTCTCCTTTATTTTCTACGTGCAGAATTTCGAAGTTATCATCAAAACTATGGTTTTCTTCTAATATATGGTTGCCGTATGTTCAATTTGTTTACTTTTCCACAGTTGAGTTTGTATACCCCTGATTTTTCGAATTTAGAAGTTTTGTCTTCATTATTTTTCATGCACCTTCCCAACGTGTCATTTGTTCTATATACTACTTTTAAGTCTTGTTTATGTAGAAATTAAGCTAATTTGTCAGTTGATGCTCCGAAATAGGTTGAAGTTCTATAATTTTGATTATTATTTTTGATGGTGGGATAAATTTCTTCAATAGCTTTATTATGCAGTTCTTTAGAAAGAATACTCTCTATCAAATTAACGTTGTATCCATTGTTAACTGCAATCTGTTTTATGATATTGAGTTCTTTATTGAAATTTACTTCTGAAAGAGGGACAATCACTAGCCTGTGTTAGCGAAACATGTTGTGTGACTAATAATTTTGTGAAAATCTCATCGTTTGTGAAGTTATTACATTTGCTATGGATTTCTATCAAGTAACAGCCGAGTCAATTAAAAAAAATCATACATATATTACTCGACATTACTGGCCACAGTAAACAATTTAAGAACACTAATCAGTAGCAGTAGCTCTGTATTCATTTCGGAAAGATTTGGCAGTACTGGTACACTGGCAGCAACACATAACCATAACCTATGATCTTACGATTTTCGATGTTTTGTTTTGTTGATTTTTATTTTCATCATTCTTATTATCTTCTTCACTGACGTTGAAATTAATATTGGAGTAATTAATCATATTATCTCAGAAGACATATTATCCTATAGTGATTCTGATTCATCAGAAACACCAAGCTCTAGTACCTCTTGTAGATTAGTGACGCAGTTTAAGCGTCCACTGCCTCTGAGATCTTCCAGTTCGATTTCACACATTTTCCCAAAGTATTGGAAAATAATAATATATAATTTTTATCGACTCATACCTAACCATTCAAACGTTTAACCTAACATTTTATAATTACTGGCAATACATCACCTTTTCTGCACCAGTAGCCAAAAGAAAACTTTTAGCCTTTGACAGGGTTCCTTGCGAAAACGTTGCCAGTAAATTTCGATAAAATCGGAACTATAAAATGGTATACTCGCCATTTCAATAAACTATTAAATCTGATGACATCACTCAAATATCAATGCCATAATATGTCACAATCCAGTTTATGAGAAAACAAGGACAATAAGTGAGCTTCAAACTGTCTTGTTCAGTTTTTCAATGATATTGTTGATATCAATTAAATCTTGAGAGCGACCAATGTTAAAATGTCCAAACAAGCTAAAGAGTCGGCGCGTTATAGTACCTACTTGTGACGTAAGTACCGCTGGCGAATTTTTGGCTAACGGGAACATTTCTTTGGGATTTTTTTTCGGGAACCATAACCTGAAACTGTTGGATTCTGTCCAAAAAAGGGCAATTCGTCTCGTCGGTGATGCCTCGCTCACAAACTCACTCACTTCTCTGGAACACCGTAGAAAAGTTGGCGATATGGCTCTATTTCATAGATATTTTCATGGACGATGCTCTTCTGAAATATCAACAATTGTTCCTCCCTTGGCAGTCCCCGCGAGATTAACTCGTCGGGTTGAGGCTTCGCACCCCATCGTGGTCACTTTGGAGACCTGCAGAACATCTCTTTCCAAACACTCATTGATCCAACGAACAGTGAGGCTCTGGAACATGTTGCCAAGGGAGGTGTTCCCCGAGGCATATAACCTCCAGAAATTCAAGAACATCAATTCCTACCTTATTTCCCTTGGTTCTCACGATGTTCTCTGAACATTACAGGATATCCCTTTTCGTGGGAACCAGAACATGAAAAAAAGTAATTTTTCTACGGCTATAACACAAAATTGCTCTTGTTATACGACGCTATACATAGTGGAGTATACTACGGCCGTGCCAAAAATGCTATCTCGGAAACTAAGCGAGATAGAGGTATAGTTGCTTTGGAGAAAATGATCCCCATCGAATTTTGAGCAACTTTGGTTTTTGTGTGTGGTCTGTCTGTCTGTCTGTCTGTACTCTGTGTTAATCATAAATCGATATATCTCCGGAACCCTTTGACATATCGACTTGAAATTTTGCCATCTTATTGTACTCAAAACAATATTATGTCATTAAAATATGAAGGAAATCGGAAAACTCTAAGGTGGTTTTTCCGGGTTTTTTCGATTTTTCACCGGAAGTTCCTTGTAACCACTCTACACATCGCAAAAGTGGTCCGATCGATTTCATTTTTTGTGAAAAAAACCTCTATCAGGGAGAGACGAAGCCTATCGAAATTGAGCAGGGTCGGGAAATTCCAAGTGGGTTTCTCAAGGAGATTTTCCGAAACACACGCTGCGCTTTAAAACGACATATCTCCTGAACCAATAGACTAAATCCAAATTTGAAAAATGCACCGTATGCCTCTTTGATGACGCAACAAATTATTATTTCACCATTTTTTCGTGCATCCATCGGAAAATGGAAAAACAAATGAAAATCAAAACATCAAAATTTGAAATCCATTCAATTCAATATATATCGAAAACAAATGGAAAAATCGAAATTTATTAGAAGTGCAAAGTTATCCACTGGAACATTTCCTACAAATTATTTCCCATAATTTTTTCTGTAAATCCAATAGTACAGGAAATAAAGTGAAAAATATGAAAAAAAAAAATTTAACGACCCATAGGGTACCATGAAGATATATTGAAAAACAAAAGATTATCGATAGATGAAGATCATCGACTTCCACTGAACCATGAAATATTTTTTCCATTTGTTGATTGGAAGATGGAACAAAAGTGTTGAAAATTTTATTCTCAGATGATTCCAAATATCTCGAAAACAACTGAAAATATCTGAAAATGTTATGGAACCAAAATTATTCCTTTTGATAGATTCTACAAAAAATCTGTATAACATTTTTCTCTGAATTCGATAGTTCGGGAGATACGATGAAAAAACTAAAAAATTTACAAGTTCCTAGACAATCACTTGCCAATAGAAAACGAAACAAAAAACAAAAAAAGTGAAAAAAGCACACTCGACTGTCTCGATTTTTTTCCATAAACTACGTACCTAGCTCACTCTACTGTCTTTATTTTTGCCAATAAACTAGGTACGGGCTAAGTACGTAGTTTGTACGAAAAATCTCCAGTTCTCTGAACTTTCATAGCGTCGTATACACATCATTGGTGCCCAATGATAGTTTCAATATAAAAATATGCTCATGATATGGTGCCATGGCCTCTACTTCCATCTTACATGAGCAATGATAAAATATCATCTGCTTTTATAGCGTCGTATAAATTATCTGACCTCTATACTAATCTAATACCTAATGAAAACTACATCTATACTAATCTGATACCTTTCAAAAACTACGTACCTCACTTGTTATACGACGCTATACCTATAGTGGAGTATACTACGGCCGTGCCAAAAATGCTATCTCGGAAACTAAGCGAGATAGAGGTATAGTTGCTTTGGAGAAAATGATCCCCATCGAATTTTGAGCAACTTTGGTTTTTGTGTGTGGTCTGTCTGTCTGTCTGTCTGTACTCTGTGTTAATCATAAATCGATATATCTCCGGAACCCTTTGACATATCGACTTGAAATTTTGCCATCTTATTGTACTCAAAACAATATTATGTCATTAAAATATGAAGGACATCGGAAAACTCTAAGGTGGTTTTTCCGGGTTTTTTCGATTTTTCACCGGAAGTTCCTTGTAACCACTCTACAAATCGCAAAAGTGGTCCGATCGATTTCATTTTTTGTGAAAAAAACCTCTATCAGGAAGAGACGAAGCCTATTGAAATTGAGCAGGGTCGGAAAATTCCAAGTGGGTTTTTCAAGGAGATTTTCCGA